CAACGTAAAGGTGCATTTCTGCCACCTACTGGATTAGATTGGGAACAGCGCCTTAGCTGTGAGCGTGACCATCTGGAAAATAAGGAAGGGAATTCAAGTAATTATTTATTTATCTACTGTGAATTCACAATGATCACTAATTATATTTACATTACTTGATAAATAATTATTATTGTTTTTATTATCTTATTAATTTGTATTAATGTTAGGAAAGTAAAAATTCTTAAAATCAAGAAAACCCCTCAGCTGTCAGAAAATGGTATGGTCCACTCAACTCAAATGCCCTCAACTGCTAACGGTTGTATGGCAGTTGCCGAAGCTTACTTTGTTCTAAACATCTTCTTTCTAGATTTCTGCTTCGTCGTTGTACGTCCAGAAAATAACAAAAAATGGTAAGAATATTTAAATTTTTCCTATTTTAATTTTTTTAAGAAAGGAAAGGCGATCGAAAACTGATTTAACTCTCCCAATATGCGCGTTAATTTGAACAAAAATAGCATTTTATTATCCAGGGTGTCGTGGCCAGAAATTTTTGACCCAGTGGTAGATGTAAATTCATTTAGAAATGGCCTGAGGAATATTTTCTTACTTTTTTTCAATCGTGAATATGCCTCAAACGACCCGCTAGCTTAGTTGCAGTTGGTCGTTGGTTGACAGTTAGCCTAACGGTTGTTGTGTTTGGCGCGCATTTAGTCAGTTTGAAATGTCTTCCCTTTTGGGACAACTTGATGCTTTGGGACGAACTTCCCACTCCCCACCAAAACAAACAAGTAAAAAATATTTTTAGTAGAAACAGACCCATCTGCTCTCTCTCCTTTTTTTTTATTTTTAATTTGCTGGTTTTCGGTTATCTCAGAACAGTTTCCTCAACTGACATAACGGTCCATTCAGCTTTCTGTTAAAGGTAAACGTTTGGTTCCCGCTAACGGCAGATTGCTCGCTCTTTCACAGCCAGATTTTTGACAAAGTTCTCAATATTTGAAGAATAAAACTATAAACGGTTCATCCAATATTTTATATCAGACTGATTTAATTAGATTAGGGTGACCAGTGTTTTTTGATGAGCTCTTTCTGTATCGATTCATTAGCTTCATAATGGTTTATTTTCCCACTTTGATGCTAGATAGCATGATTTATCTGTGTCCCATATTAAAATGAATCTTTTCTTCCTGTCCAGCGTGAGTGTATTTCCATCCATATTGGTCAGGCCGGATGCCAGATTGGCAATGCATGCTGGGAGCTGTATTGCCTGGAACATGGCATCCAGCCAGATGGTCTGATGCCGAGTGACAAGACCGCAGGAAGAGGAGACGACTCCTTCAACACCTTCTTCAGTGAGACCGGTTCTGGAAAGCATGTCCCCCGGGCCGTGTATGTGGACCTGGAGCCCACTGTCATTGGTAAGTCTCACCTCTTGCTGGAGAGCATTGAATGAAGCAATTGACATCAAGGATTTGAATATGTGTTCATTAAAGTTTATTTAATGTGTGACTATATTTTTCCATCCCTCCATAGATGAGGTGCGCACTGGGACCTACCACCAGCTATTCCACCCTGAGCAGCTGATCAGTGGTAAGGAGGACGCTGCCAACAATTATGCGCGTGGGCACTACACCATCGGAAAGGAGATCATCGATCCTGTGTTGGATAGGATTCGCAAACTGGTAAGATCATGGAATGAAGTCAATTTCAAATCATCGGAAAAGACAAAGTAAATTTGTGTGACATGTGGATTCTGACAACCCTTCTCTGTTTCCAGGCTGACCAGTGTAATGGCCTTCAGGGCTTCCTAGTTTTCCACAGCTTTGGTGGAGGCACTGGCTCTGGTTTCACCTCCCTGCTGATGGAGCGCCTGTCTGTCGACTACGGCAAGAAATCCAAGCTGGAGTTCTCCGTCTACCCGGCTCCGCAGGTGTCCACAGCCGTGGTGGAGCCTTACAACTCCATCCTGACCACCCACACCACCCTGGAGCACTCAGACTGCGCCTTCATGGTGGACAACGAGGCCATCTACGACATCTGCTGTCGGAACCTGGACATTGAGCGCCCCACCTACACCAACCTGAACAGACTGATGAGTCAGATCGTGTCCTCCATCACGGCTTCTCTTCGTTTCGATGGCGCTCTCAACGTGGATCTGACCGAGTTCCAGACCAACTTGGTGCCTTATCCACGTATCCACTTCCCTCTGGTCACTTATGCGCCTGTCATCTCTGCTGAGAAGGCTTACCACGAGCAGCTGACCGTAGCTGAAATCACCAACGCTTGCTTTGAGCCAGCCAATCAGATGGTGAATGCGACCCTCGCCACGGCAAGTACATGGCCTGCTGCCTTTTGTACCGTGGAGATGTGGTGCCTAAAGACGTCAACGCTGCCATCGCCAACATCAAAACCAAGCGCACCATCCAGTTTGTGGACTGGTGCCCCACTGGTTTCAAGGTGGGCATCAACTACCAGCCTCCCACTGTGGTTCCTGGTGGAGACATGGCCAAGGTCCAGAGGGCTGTGTGCATGTTGAGCAACACCACGGCCATCGCAGAGGCCTGGGCTCGGCTCGACCACAAGTTTGATCTGATGTACGCCAAGCGTGCCTTCGTTCATTGGTATGTGGGTGAGGGCATGGAGGAGGAGAGTTCTCTGAGGCCAGGGAGGACATGGCTGCATTGGAGAAGGATTATGAAGAGGTCGGAACAGATTCCATTGAAGGAGAGGGAGAGGAAGAAGGAGGAGAATATTGAAATGGCCACCTGAAACTAGTTCTGTGCTTTCAGTCTTTCTCAGTCCGTTCCGATGTTTTTCTACTTACTGTTTTAATGCTCAAGTACTTGAGATGTTGACAATACTTTGATTGGAATATACTTGTTTGTTTTAACTTTGTATTCCCATTTCTAGGAAGAAACCCATTGTATTGTTGTTACTTATCCAATACATGTTTGTGAATGAATAGGAATACATTAAGTCTTTTCAGTAATCAGTTTTCTGTCTTACTGTATTAAATTAGATTTGATATGTGAAAAATAGTCAAAGACTATTTCTGTTTTGTAAAATGTTTGAATTGTTGCCCTGTGACTGTTGACAGGGAGTTGTTTTAATCCTTTCCAGAACATGCAGTGTTTGTATGGTGAATTGATTTTATTTGTGTGTGTATTTAAACAATAAAAATTAATTATTTGAGTTGGTTGCATTAATTTGCTCTTTTATGAACAGGGAAGATAAAATATAAACATTAAAATCTTCTCCACACAAAAAATGTTTTAATTGATTGTCTTATGTTTTCCACACACAAAACCTTGGGACTAAATGGCTAAAGTTTTTTACAAATAAATGAAATTATTAATCATATAGAACAGGATCATAGTCTGGCAAGTAAATACTATCTTATTTTTGTAAGGATATATAAAAGCATGAATGTTAGATACAATAAAAAAAACTCGGAGCCTTGTTAAAAGTGATGTTTGTTTAGATAAGTATTTTCATTTAATGTAATACTGCCCCCTTGCGTTGGCATGTCACATCGGAAAATGCCACCAAAGATGCAGAATGGAGAATAAAACATAATCATACATGTATGTACGTGTGAACGAATATTTCTTCTTTGATGAATTCAGAAATATTAAGTTTGGCTTCTTAAACTGTTTTCACAAGTTAAAGGATGTGCAGACAGTTTCTTCCACTTTTTAATCATAGAATAAAGATTAAGATTTGTCTTAATCTTGTAATAATAGTATTGCAAAATTAAGTTAAATTCATTTTCTGCTTACTATATTGCATAATTCTGTGGGTTACTGTAATTTATAGTAAAAAATTACTATACATTTATTACGTAATTTTCTCAATGCTTTAATGCTTTACTTACAGAAAGTAAAGCAATGATCCCTGGACAAATGAAATAAAGTATTCCAAAAACAGTGAAACATGATTTTCTGAGTCTGTGAAATAACAAAAAGAAGAAATTTTACTTTTAACTGAATTGATACTCAATTAAACAATTGTTAGGGGGAATAAAATGAACCCAGGCTGTCAGTGGCCAAACCTCTCTGACACCAAACATGTATGTCTGCTATAAACTTTCAACTTAACAAAACAAAAAAGTGTAGTTTAAAGGTAAGTATTGTAAAATATTTTATTTCACACTGAATCATGTTACTGATGTTTCTGAGCTAAACTGGTCTTACTTCCACATAGCTAATTATTTACAATTAGAAGTACAATTAAGTCTTTCCACTTTCTTAAAAGTTTTTTTTAAATGATGCTTAAAGCTATTTTGTAATACCTGGGTTATTTTTACAACTCTGGCTAACACTAACTCAGTCCATTTTTTTACTTGTTTCAAAACATTTCAGATTTAAGTCACTCTTCAACGTTTTTGGAGGAAAGTCTAATTTTTGTTGTGTATATTTTTTCCAGCTGGTTTCTTAATTATGATAATTTCATGAGATTTCTATTCTTGTTTGTACTCAACAGTGACCTCTACTGGTTGGAAAAAGGTTTGAAACGGACAATAAAGATTTCAAAACCACCTCATAAACTTTATTTCATTTTCTACAAACAGTTTGAAGTTCTTCATGTTGTGCAACCAGAATATTGTGAATATTTAATTGAGGGAGTGTAAAATTTTGAGAGATGAATTATGATGAATCACCAATAACTGATAAAATGGCTATGTGTATCACACTTTACGGTTGTGTCTAATTATTAAGCAGCTTCTTTTTTTCAAATGAAATGAGCCAAATTAAAGATGGGCTCAAAATCAACTCTTAAACTTCGCTGCTTTCAAATAGAGGATAGAAAGAAGTCTGCATCTTTCAGAAAGATCATTTTTATGCAGGGCAATGACTTTTTCACAATATTAAATTGCTTTAATGCATGTATTTCTCCCTCAATAACCTTTTCACAAATATTCATTACTCTGGGAGCCGCCCCACTCCACGTCACGCAGTGAAACGACTCTAGGTAGTTCATTTTATGGCCTCTAGGGGGCAAGAACAGGAAGTATGAGTTTTTAAGTTTCATTTCTTCAGCGAACATCGAGGCTCTCAGCCTTTGGTTGACCTGCTTCTAACCAAATATCTGCAGGATATAAAGGAGGTGAGTCTTAAACTATGACTGAGCTTAAATATATATAAATATATTTATACAAGTATCTGGGCTCCACTGTCACATGTACTGTCTTCCTGTGGGATTTATTAAATTAAACCCACAAATTCAATTCAAAGCTTCAGTATCAAACATGAACAGACACTAAAATGTAATGTTTATCCTAATGTCTAAATTTGACAATTTATTCTCCAGCTCCCTAATATATATTTATTAAGTTATTGTTTATATATGAGGTGTTTCTGTCAGGCAGCCAGGAAAACGAAACTTATGGCTCTGAAAGGAAAGGAAGTCAGACATAAAGCTGGAGTTAAATGGTAACGTGATTTTAAGAGCATCCAGATGCACGTTGATGTCTGACATGTTGGTAATCTCTCCCATATATAGCACTAAAATATAAATTCATCACACATACTGAAACCCGTTTTATTCATTTTGTTTTGATGTAATTTGTGTGTTTATGTTGCAGATTCAAACTTGAGTTTGCTCTAGAAGTTGAGGTCAGATGGCTGCTCTGAACCCAAGCCTCTCCAGAAACCAGCAGAAAACTATCTGCTCTCAGCTGGGAAACGTCAAACTGAAGCTGATCTACAAAGCCTCTGTCCACGGCTTTACTGCTGCCGCCTTCCACCAGAGATGTGACAACCAGGGGCCCACTGTGTCTGTGGGCTACAATACCACTGGTTATGTGTTTGGAGGCTACGCCAGCCAACCGTTCAGTCAGTCTGGGCAGTGGGTGAATGATAACCAGGCTTTTCTTTTTAGTTTTACTGGTGGAAAACTCCAGAAGTACCCCTGTACTAATGCTGCTAATGCACTTCTAATGGATCAGAACAATGGTCCTTTTTTTGGAAATGCTTTTGCTCTTATCTATCAAAACCAACCAGTGACCTACAGCGCTCCGGGGAATTATTACAACTTCAATGCTGCAGAAATGCATGGAAATGACCTGAAGCTGAGTGAATGTGAAGTTTACCAGGTGGAAGGTGAGTCCTAAGTGAAGGAATTACAAAAATCTAAAAACAGAAGTTCTTATGTAATGTATATACAGCTCTGGAAAATAACAAAGAGCCCTCTGCACTGACCCCCATTGAAAACCTTCTAGTTATTCCACAAAATATTGATCTCTGAACTCTTCCTGAGTTAAAACATCAGTATTGTTGTTTCTAAATAAATATAAACTTGTTTTCTTTTCATGACTTGAGTTCTGAAAGCCCTGCATCTTTTTGTTATTTTGACAATTTCTAATTTTCTGGAAATAAATACATCTTTGCTTGGAAATTCAGACATGTTGTCAGTAGTTTACAGAATACAAGTAAAATCAGAGAAACTGATCATTTTAAGTGGTCTTTCATTTTTTCCAGAGTTTTATATTCAGTCAGTTTTCTGCTGCACATCACTCAACATGTCAAACATGTTAAATATGCTCTTTAAGTTTACATTTTGAATTTACATAATATCTACATACTCTTCTGGACAAGTAATGTTTAAAATGATATTAAAATTAAATTATGTTGCTCTTCACCAGAATCCATTGAAATTGAGAAGCCGTGGAGGAATGTCGTCTGGGAATCTAAGTGAGTGTAAAAGAATTTACTGCCTTTCAACTTTTTGTCAAACATAAATTGTTAACATTTATTTGTTAAAACAATCTAAAAGTTATGCATGCATGTGTTAAGCCTCTGTTACTCTGATACCCATAATGAGTTTTCAGTGCAATCCTTAACCTTCAGGCCACATGTTTTTAATGTCATTTTAATCCAGCTGCTCTGTGAAAATATTCTAGATTTGTTAGAGAAGATTAGAGAGATTATTAACACAACATACATGGACGTTTTTATCATGATGCTTAAAATGATTCTGCAGCAGGTTTACTGTTGGCAGTTTCTCAGTAATTTGATGTTTCTCTGCAGGAAGAGGTCGGAGCTGATGGAGAGCATCAAAACCTACAAACCCACACTCAGTTCTGTGACCCAGGCTCGGGTTTTGCTCATCGGACAGGTCGGAGCCGGAAAGTCCAGCTTCTTCAACTCCATCAACTCTGTTTTCAGAGGCCACGTCACCAGCCAGGCCATCGCTGGCAGCTCTTCCACCAGCCTCACCACTCAGGTCTGACTCTGCTTTCCGTCTACACAGTTCACTGCGTCTCAGGAAAACAATAATCTCTACAACGGGATATTTGTGAAATCTTTTCTAGTTCCGATCCTACTCTGTGAAAGCTGGACGAGAAGGCAAACCCCTGCCAATCATCCTGTGTGACACCATGGGCCTGGAGGACAACAAAGGGGCGGGGCTTGATGTGGAGGACATCAGCAGCATCCTTAAGGGACATGTGCCGAATTGTTACCAGGTGGGATGTTTGATTTCGGTTTGTGAAGCATAACTTGTGCGTTACATGAAGTGAATTTAACACATTCTTCTTTTACGTCGACAGTTCAACCCAGCTGCTCCTCTTCTTCCCGAGTCTCACGGCTATCGCAAGTCTCCGGCTGTCAAAGACCAGATTCACTGTGTAGCTTATGTTATTGATGCCAGCAAGGTCTCCATTATGCCCCCAAAGCTGGAGGAGAAGATGGAGAGCATCCGCAGAAAGGCTAACCTGTTGGGTCAGTAGATTCTGTCACTGAGTCACTTTCACTGATGAATTTGAAAAAGTTTCAGCTCAGTTTTTTACAGCATGTTGGAAATGTTTGTTTGCAGGGATTCCTCAGCTGGTTCTGCTCACTAAAGTGGATGAAGCTTGTCCTTTGGTGAAAGACGATCTGAGAAACATCTATAAGAGCGGATACATCAAGGACTTGGTGAGGATTCTTTTAATTATAGATTAATTACTCTATGTTTACATGCTAAGCTTGATAAAACCGTTCTGAACCGCTGTGTGGTCCAGATGCAGGAGGTCAGCGTCAGGGTGGGCGTGCCGCTGTCCTGCGTTGTTCCAGTCAAGAACTACAGCGGGGAGCTGGAGCTGGACTTGAACTGCGACATCCTGCTGCTCAGCGCCGTCATCCAGATGCTCCGGTTCGTCGATAACTACTTCGATGACCTCAGCGACCGACTGAGCAGCGTCAAATGCGAGGATTAAGAATCTGTATTAACAAAACCTGACAGTTCACGCTTATCTGCTTATCTATCAGTATTTACGCATTTATCCAAAACAACTCTAGAGTTTTACATATTCAATGCAACTGAATATACATATTTACCTTATAAAGGTAAACATATTACCTTTATATTTACCTTATACAAATTGACTGCAACAACTTACAACTCCAGTCTGATGATGTTTTTGTTTCTCATTGGTTCTTGAACGTCTTTAAATTGGGGGATAATGTTTTTAAAGTTTATTCTGCAGGTTTGGTTGTAGATTATGATGTAATCATAATCTGAAACATTTAAGTTCAACAACAAAGGTAGGAAATCAGAAAGTTGTTCACTTCAATGAGTCTGGATAAATCAGATTTATTACCTTAATTGTCTTGGTGACTTGGTATTTTTCAGGACGTTTACACAGGAACTCCAGGAAAACAGCAAATATATCTGTGGGCATAAAACTGAAGTAAAATCTAGTAAGTAAAAATTATATCATAGCTTCATGTGTAAAGATTTGCTGATATTTGCCTTTCCTGGATACCTTAGAATGTTGAAAAAAAAAATCCCTTTCTATTTGTTTTGTCCACCTAAGTGTTGTTTACAGTTCACTTATTTATGCTTTTTTTAGTTAAAAAAACAATCTGAGACAGATTTATTACATGCAAGTGTCAGTTCATACAAGATGGAAAAAAATGCATACGCAAATAATGTGGAGAAAGAATGTCTGGAATTATTTATTGAGAGAATCCAATAAAATCAATAGTTTAAAATATTTTGCCCTGAAACCTAATTTTATCTAACACTTCTTTTTTGTTTTTCTATTTTGAGAAATATACTGTTATGAACTGTGTGATTCTGAGAGGCCTGGAGGAAACAAAAACAAACCATCATCCTCTTACTACTTCCTGTTGTCTTCTTCGTCATTTTCGGCAGTAGTAACATCTGGCTGTTGCTCATGTGACTCATAATTCGAAAAAAAAAAAATGTTTCCAGTGGAGGCGCAAAATACTTTTTATTGAAAAATGTCTAAAATTTTCAAATTCATTTTCGTACTTTGTATTTGTCCAATTTTATGGTCAATAGACTGACGGAAAAACGATTTGTCAACACGACACCTGGCTTAACGCTTTGCTTCATGTTCAGTGTTTCGTTTCAATGAAAAGCTGAGACTTCATGAACAAACTGAAGTTTATTAATGCAGCAGAAACAGTTTCTGTACAGGGAAACAGTGAAGTCAGACCAGCTGAGGAGCCGTCTGTAACAAGACTGAGATCTCCACAACAAACTGTAAACCACACAACGACAGCCGCCTCTAATCTGACTCATCTGCTGCTTCCGGGTCTCTGAAATGAACTGAATTAGATTAGAAATGGGCCGATCTCTTCTCAGCAACAGTTATGAGATAAAAGCAAACATCTTAAAATAGTGTTTAAAATATCCACGTTTGGTTAGTGCACATAACAGACCGGGAGCTCCCTCCACCCGGTTCAACCACTTCCACTCACAGACCGACAAGAACAGGAATGTCATGGAGAAGTGAATCCTGGGATTAGGACGTAATCTGTCTGCTATAAAGTAACGTTCAGGGTGGCGCAGACGGTCCGCGGAGCAGAGGAAGACCGTGGAGAGGCTCTTATGGCACAGCTGATGCTCTCAGACACTCGGATGGCTTTTCGTCTCTCCAGCCAGCTGCTTCAGTCATCAACAGAAAAGGCAGCAACGTGAAGATGAAGAAACGACTTCAAACGTTTGATTTACAGAAAACACACATAACGAACACGTGGGATCGGTCCGAGTCCAAAGGCCGACTTTAGTGTCAACCAGAGAGGAATAAAGCCGAGCAGCTTCTCTGACATGAAGCTAAAGTGCATCAAAATTTACATTTTTGGCAAGAAAATCATCCTCAACATATACCTGAATATGAAATGTTTTCTGCTTTTGTGCTTTAAATTAAAATAAATGTAAAAATAAAAGAACAAATGGGACGTTGGCACAATCATACCAGATGGCTTCAGGACGGTTTGGCAATGACAGCAATACTTTATATTAATGTCATGAGATAAAATATATTTACCTGGAGATAAATTATTCAAAGTAGCAGCTGAATGATGATCTGGGTGCTCAGCTGTTTGGAGTTTCTGGCTTTAAGGAGATAATTTTAGCTTAAAGACGTTGCATTGAAAGTTTTGCTTTTTTCTGAACAGACCTGAAGAGAAAAAGAATAGCGCCCCCTATCACTCCTACTGAAGTATTGCTGTTCTGAGAGTTTATTTGGCAAGCAGCCGACTGGCTACAACTGCAAACAGCCCAACTAATTAATCAGCTAATACCAAATCTTCATAAAGAGCCAAATATTAAAAACGATAGCTTTCTAAAAATTTAGCAACAACATTACATACAACAGAATACAACTGGAATAATTAAAATGTGAGATTATTTTAGCAACAGCAGGAAGAATTGTTGTATTTCTGTTTTAAATAAAACATTTGATCACAATCTACTTTTTGATTAATATTTTTTGTAATATTTTAAGAGACCACAAGGGTTAATGCCAACTTTTAAGACCTTATACCTTTTTGAAAGAAATTTGGCCACTTGATGCTTTAAACTTAAAATATTAGTTGCTAATTATAAAAAGAAATAGTCAAATTAAATAATTAAAAGTTGCAAAACATAAAATGTTTGTCACAATAAATGTTCTGAGAGATGAAAACTTGTTGAACACGGTTCGGGGTGAGCAGAAACTCTCTGCAGGTCGTCACCTTTTGGCTCCTCGGCGTTTGGACCCGAGCCGATCCCTCACACACTGTGCTTACATCAACATCTGCAGAGATGAGATTCAACTTCCAAACAGTAGAAAAGAAATATAAGAGCTTTTCTGTGTCTTTTTCTTTTAAGGAACTGTACAAGATTATTTAAAATAAAAAAAGTCAACAATTAGTTATACATATTTATAAGACAACATTGTTTACGTTATATTACTATAAAGAATTGCAACTTGTGTGATATTTTAATTTACTACTGTAGGCAGTATTCCTTTCTTTAGAGTGCTGGATGTTTCTGTTTTTAATAGTAGATGTATAAAACTATTGTGATGGATTTAAAATCATTTTCTATTTTGTGGTTTAAGTTCCAGCTACTAGAAAAATCCTGACCTTTATTTCTCTGCAATAGCAACAACTGGCCACAAGATGGTGCTACTTGACCGTTAAGGTGCTTGTGATAAATTAACTTGAAACTAATTCCAGACTTCACCTGCACCAGACTGTGCAGCTGTAGAGCAGAGAACGTCTTCTCTTCCTCTTCATCGCAATTTAAGGAAGCTCATCTTTTTCCAACCCACTGGAAAAAAAGGAATACTGCATTTCTCCTTCACTACTTTCTTCAGCCTTTGTTCGTAACGCTAGAGTGCGTCCTGCAGGGGAATGTAGAGGGGACAAAGTGGTGGAGGTCCAGCTAGGCAGGCCCGTCCTTCGGAGAGGACGGAGTCTGGGACACGGAGCTGGAGGACGAGGAGGCCGAGCTCTTCAGAGAGCCCAGCGTCTTGCTGAACCAGGAGTTCTTAGCAGCTTGGATTTCAGTCATCAGGACGCCCCGCTGATGCTCCAGCTCCTGCAGCGCAGAGAGAGGAACAGAGTAAACAGAGAACAGAACCAGAACCCTGGCCGGGCTTCGTCCTGTTTCATTATGGATGAACATTTATTTTTTATTAAATTTGCAAACAAATAAAAATTTGCATTTTCTGCAAATAAATACCAAAGTTTTGCTTGGAATTTCACAGACATGTCAGTAGTTCATAAAATAAAAGAACAATGTTCATTTTATTCAAACATGTACCTATAAAAAGCAAAATAAGAGAAATTTATCATTTTAAGTGGTTTTTACTTGTGAAGCTGGATAAGATTGGTTCACATGTAAGTATCAGCCAATCACCGATCTCCCAAAATTAAGAAAATCAGCACCGATAAATCGGATTTATTGCATCAGATTGTGTAAGAAAAATTTGGCTTTTTATTGCTAAACCAGTAATCATCAGCAAATAAACCTTTGCTGACATTAAATTTTTCCCAGTGAGGAACAATGATGAACTTCAGGAGAGAGTTAAATCCGTTTTCTGAAAATAGATTTCTTCTCTCCCTGTGGGGCACCGATTATTTTCAGCAGGTTGGGTTCTGCTCACCTGGATCCGGCACTTTGCCTCCACCAGCTGCAGTTTGGTCTGAGCCAGCTCCAGCTCCAGCTGTCTGAGCTGCTCCTTCAGCCCGTCCTTCTCCTCGTCCAGAGGCTCGCTGGACGTCCCGTCGCCGCCGGGGGACGAAGCCTGCAGGGAGCCCACAGGGCTGAACAGGTCTCTGCAGTGTTCGCAGCTCATCACTTTATTCTGCACGGCGACACAAACAACACGTCTGTTTACAGCGCTGGTGTAAAAAAGCTCTGCAAAGCAGGGAGATTAGATGCAAGATGCAGAGAAAAACAGCTTAAACTTGCAATTGATATTTATTGTAAAAAATCTGGAAACTTTTGCAACACATTGAAGTGTTAAGAGTTAAATTTAAAAAGTCTGCTGCCTCCCAGTGCCTGTTGGATGAAGACTAGACGGGATTATTTCTGCATCCAAGCTCCTCGTTGCTGTGATGGTGCACAAAAAATCCTCGGCCAATTTTTATTTATTTTTTAAATCTGAAATTTAAATGTCTCGTAGCTTTCATCTGTGCGTTAGCCGTGTATCATCTCACCCTGACGATGTCGAGCTCCTCTTTAGTCGCCGCCTGCTGTTTTTCCAGCCTGGTGCTCAGCTGGGAGCAGATCTGAATCGAGGCGAGGAAGAGGAGTTGCACAAGAGATGATACAGTCATAAATGCAACATATAAGTCATTATTCCTCATCTAAATTATAATCTTCCTATGGTGACATTAACATTTAGAAAATGAGATGAATGAAGCCGGGTTGTCCTGTTACCTGTTTGTACTCAGCGATGATGGCGGTGGTTTTCTTGATCTCCATCTCTGCTTTCTCCAGTTCCCGCCTGAAAACCTCCTTCAGCTAAAGGAGCGAATAGAAAAAAACAAAAAAACGCCAAAACAAAAAGGTTAACGCTTTCATTGAACAGTCGATGTTCCATTTTTACTGATTAATGTACAGAAATTTTATTTATTGGTGTTAAATTTGTTGCTCGGTTGTAACAAATCAACAAATTAAACAGATTAAAGGAAAGATCATCAGACACAATTTTCTCCCCTCTACATTTTTAGTCTTTTTTTCACTAAGAGAATAAAAACTTCTCTTAATGAAACACCAGACACAGGGTGACCAGTCAATTATAATCGATTCAAAAGATGCTCAACTGCTACAGCTGGTTTTGTAATTTGCTATGGCTAAATATCTGTAAAGTGTGGCATGCACTTTCTTTTCAGACTCAAAACTTTAAAGAACTACCTTCTCTCTCAACCATCTGGAAATTTCTGTCCATTCTTCTTGGCAAAAGTAGCAAAAGCTCAGTAAGTATGAACGGAGAATATCATATTTAAATGTGTCTCATATTTATGTCTGGACTTTAACTAGGCCACTCAAACACGTGGAGATGCATGTGTAGGGTTACAGGAATGTGAGCCTCCACCTGAGTCTTTAGCTCATCCACCTTGTCATCAACTCGAATCAGCTTCCCTGTTGCAGCTAAAGAGAAACATCCCCACAGCATGATGCTGCCACCGCCCAACCTGGGTTATTGCTTCATAATGTCAATTTTATTTATAAAGCACTTTATAAACAGATATTAACTGCACCAAAGTGCTGTACAGTATTCATAAAACAAAGATAAAACACATAAGAATAAAACACACATTGCAACAGGCAGGCCTTATGGAAAAGCTAAAAAGGAATAAAAATGAGTTTTAAGAAGTGATTTAAAGTGTTTTGGCAGATCTAATGTTGAAAGGTGAGCTGTTTTCACACCTGGTAGTCCGATAGACTCGGTTTGATTCACTTTCACACTGAACTCTGCTAAATGAAACAACAAACCATTTGGAAAACCTGTTCCCCTCCTCGCCTGTGGTGGCGCTGCACAAGATAATCTGAACTGAACTAAATTAAAATCAGCAAAAGTTTTTGAAGTTGCAACCCTTAATTTATCAAATTCTTGATCAAACGAAGAGCAGAACAGTCTGAATAACAAGAATATCCGATTTCTGTCTGATTTTGGCTAAATGTCCTGCAGCGATAACATGACCTTTAGTCATCACCCTTCACCCGAATCAGTTTTCTCTGCTCAAGGACGGCAGCTGAATGCAGCCATTAATGGCCGTTCTCCTCCTAAAGATCGGAACAGGGAGGCCATTCATGCAGCTTCACATGAGAAACTCTGATAATGCCTGAGAAAACAGGCTTTGTTCAGCGAGATGCAGCCGTTAGCTGAGGACCGGGACGGTAACCCGAGGACAAACGCTACCTGAGCGGTCTCCTCCTCATGCCGCCTCTTCTCCTCCTCCGTCTCCACCAGCCGTTGTTTGGTGCTCAGCAGCTCTTTGTTCAACACATCGGCTTTGTCTTCAGCCTGATCGAAACAACACCACACAAGTTATCAACCGGCCAATGCAGATACCTATACAGTTACCTAATGTAGAGGGTGACACTGTTTTCCTAAAACTAAGTCCAGGTGTGGTGTTACCTGGTCCAGATCGTTCCGCAGGGCGATCTTACTGGTGACCAGCTCGTGTGCCAGATCGTCATTCTCCTGCTCCAGCCTCATACTGGCTTCTTGTAGACGCCGGTTCTCTCTCTATGAACAAGAGTTTTTAAGTTAACATTTAAAAAAAGTGGAAAAAGAAAAAGACAGGAGTGGGAACTATTTCCCAGAATGCTTAGCGGGATGTTGTTGTATTCTGAGATGGAAGTGTGTTATATTGACCTGACTCCTGTGTTTTATTATGGAAAAAGTTTATTTTAATGTCCTGTTCACACAAAATGTTTTTGAGCTGAATAAAATTTATTATCAGATCAGAAATGTTGTTCATGCAATTTGAAAGAAGAATTTAAATTATTCTGAAGAAACATAAGTAGACATTTTAACTTGATATTGTGAGTGAAGATAATAGTGAAATGTGGCTCTTTAACTCGGTGAGGACAGTTTTTTTTCTTCCATATTGTGAAATAATTATTTGGTTTAATTTCCAGCATTAAGTTAAAACTCGATTCTGGATTAATGAACTTAAAAAACAATATTTAGACAACCTGTCTCTTGATGCTAAAACAACTTCATAAACTTTAATTTCTGAGTTAAAAAAAACTATTTTCTTGTTGGCTTGATTTGCATTTTCAAGGCAGCAGATGGATTTTCATGTTTAAGTTCAACCACCTTCACATGTTTTACAGTGTTTGTGCTTTTCCCTCTCCTAAAGCTCCATACAGTCACAAGCTTAAATGTTATTTTGCACAGAATGCACCTCGCACTTTAATCTAGACCAGAAATACTTGGTAAGATTTTGCGTTTATGTTCTGGAGATGTGATTACAGCAGCTGTGCAGTTTGATTTTATGTTTTTGGGCCGTGTCCACACCGTATCCTGAAGTCCCATTAGTGGAGTCTCATGACTGCCAGGCTGGCAGTAAACGTGTCACATGACATGGATTTAATGAGAGCAAAAAGCTATTGTCAAAGATCGGTCATCTGACCCTGATTTCCCTGTCACTTTCAAAATAATTGCATTTTCTAATGCTTGAGTGACACTAAACGTACATAAATATTCACAGATATATGCATGGGAGACCTGAACTGATGGCTCAGCTTTCGTATATATAAAAATAAATGCAGGGAGATTATCATCCAACACCTAATTTAGTCATTTGTGCTGCAGATACACATGCACCAAACTTATATTTTTATAAAACTCTTGTTTGTTACCACTGTCTAATCAAAGCATTCTCCTTAACTAACAAACAGAAAATATTCCTGATTACAAAAACAGCAAAACTCTAAAAGTATTTCATGAGAATGTGTTTTGGAGCAGAGGAAGCTTACCGAGCGCCTGTCCGCAGTCAAAACGTCCACAGATAGAGCGACTAGAAGCGCTGACTAAACTTCAACACATGATCCTGACAGCCTCACTTTCCTGTCACACACTTCCCAGCTACGCTTTCTCTCTCAATAGACTCTCTTTCCATTTATAAATGCTTCCATTTTCTGTTGCTTTGAATACCAAAAGCATGACAGAAGAAGAGAAATTTACCAGACTTCACATTCACACATGCAAAAAACTACATACCTCACACTTGAAATCTTCCAACTTTTTTAAAATTTTAATTTAATTCTGTTATCTGCACCAATAAAGCAGGAGGTTTCTGGATTTTTCTCGTAAAAGTGATTCCAGAGCAGCTAGGTCAAGCCTAACATCTTATCTGCAACTAGAGTCTTCCTTCCTTCCTCTACTCCACAATTAGGTGTTTATCCTTCAGCGCATCGCCCTGGTCTCTGGGAGAAAATGACCACAATCAACTCTGGATGTTTGTCTGTGCTGGTTGTTTATGTGTTGCTTAAAGATGATTGGTTTCAATGCAGTACATTAAAAGGTAGAAATTGTGTCTTCACTTTAGTAACATATACTGCCTTCATCTTGAAAATCTTAAAAAATGTTAATTGTAACGTAAAAGCAAGAAGTTTACCAAATATAAAATGAGTAAGTCACACTGATCACTCCAAGCATCTTACATTCACCCTATCTGTCAGTTTTAACCAAAAAAAGTTAAGATTGATCAAAACAGAGACAAAAGTAACTCAGACAGTCATTTGATGCACCACAGGTTTGCAAAATTTCTAACTGACCGGTACAAAAAAATCCATGACCACTGACATGCACACAGATTTACATAAAGCTTAAACATTCATATGTCACATTATTGTCACAAACAAGAATAAATACTCTGAAATTACTAACCGACAAATTTGATTCTATTATTTAACAAAGATACAAACTATAAATGAACAAGAAAACAAACATAATAACTAAACTAACAAATTAAAATCAAAGACTTAAAAAACAGACAAATAGCTCCAACATCAATAAGCAATTTGTAAGCAAAATGGCCTGGAGGAAGCTGGAATCGAACTCGCGCCTTTCGGATTGCAAGACGACTACGCCTCCCATTCAGTGGTGCTATTAACTAAATGGTTAGCTGGACAATTGGAGAGATGGACAGAGAGAAGGACTAACAGAAGGATGAAGGGATGGATGGACAGACTGATGGATGAGTGAAAGCTCAGAGAGACAGATAACGATATAATAGCTAACATTCTTTTCTTTGGGACAGCCGCCTGCCATTTCTTTATATTTTGGAACAACAAACAATTTCCAATATGGAGATATCATAGCGCACCCTCCATCTGTGAGATTCTGCTCTTGAATTTAATGACAAACCATCCTGAGTGCCTTAAAGCATCAGTAGTTGTAGCTTCACTGTCTTCCAGCAGGAGATTGAAAAGAAATAAATGCACCCCATCATAAACCTCCTCCTGAATTCTTACAGGTTTGTAGTTGAGATAAAAGTTTTTCCATGTCTCTGTGTTTAAAGGCTACATTTTATTTTTCTTTTCTTATCCAGACCTGGAAAATAGTGAAATAAAATGTAATAATTTTGCAGCGTTTGTAGGAAAGTCAACTAGTATGTCTTAGTAAGAAAATCTATGAACAGAACTAAAAAGTGAAGGAGGCCGAATCATCTGCCTCATCTCTTGCAGTTCCACCTCATCATGAACAAAGATGTTGCTGCTGAGCACATCTGACCAAAGGCAGAATAATCTAAAACCTATTTTTAAAGATGTCCGCATCATTAATGACAAGTGAGAGCTGCTTGATGCTGGAACCAAAAATACTTTCACAAACAGCACAACACTGTCTGAAAAAGGAAAGCTGTTTCTATTATTAGAAAAAAATAAAGATTTCCAGTATAAACCAAGAGATAAATTTAGCACCTTCTCTATCAGCATTTAGATCAATTTGAGAGTTTTTAAAACCTGGTATCGATCGATGGGGTCCTCTTGTTGCAGCTGGCTCTCTCTCAGCGTCTGATACTCCTTCTCAAACTTTTTCAGCTTTTTGGTTGGAACCTGAAAAATAAATAATAAAGTTGAAAATGTAAACATTACTCAGAACTCTGTAAATGCTGCTTTATTAAATGTCTGCATGCTTAATAAAGGGTTAAATGTCTCATTCAGATTTATTCAGAGGAAATCAACAGAGCAATTGACGGCGAATGTTTTGCATAATGTATGCCTGATCCAATAGACAAAATGGCAGAACAAAAGGTTAGAAAAGATAATTAAAAAATCTACACAAATTTTTATTTCTAAAAGAAAAAAAGGTTGAAAATTGAAACCTTGTACCTTCCTTGATAATTATGAACTGATTTGGGATTGTAATCCACAAACAAATCAAATAAAACCCTTCAAAGTATGAGGTTGTAAAATGTAAAAAAGTATTCTCATAATTTTGACTTGAATGTTTGGAAATTAAGTTTTTCACAAAGAGGCTGATTAAAGGATTTTTCACTCATCTTCATAGCAACACCTTTGGGTTATTTAGACAATCTAAATTGGAACAAAATAGAGCTAAACTCTAAAATTAAAGTTTTTGGCTCTACAAAGTCAGCTGAAACCATATTTTTGGCACACAGGAACCCAATATTACCATAAAACACCTCATAATCAGCTAAAGTCAAACAAGCAGCACAACACATTTGTACCACATTTATACCTGTGGACGCAAACATCGACCTGCAAATGTTTGCTGCATCAACGCTGCAGGTGTAAAAACCGATTAAACATTAATCATGTTGTTTGACAAACAGCTGTGAAATATTGTGTAGCTACAACTGTGACTCATAATTTCACCACCATACGCCTCGGTCTGTGCTGCAGGTAGATGATGATGTTATCTCCCCTGAGTGGAAACAGCGTTGCCACCGTCGCGGTTTGGGATTGCATGTCCGACCCGGTCACATGACCTCTCTTTTGAGACTGGGATGCATTTCATTTCAGTCTCTTTCAAGCTGCATTTGAATCCGAGGAAATAGGTTGTTTGTCCTCCAGTAAATTTAATCAAACATCTTGAAAGCAAAGGAGATGTGGTTTTATTTAATCAGGTGAATTTACTGAGTCTTTGCTGCTCTCTGTTTCACTTGTTTCCAACAAACACAAATAGAAGTGATTGATAAATTTCACAGATTCACCAAGAAATCCCCTGGTGACCAGAATCGGCTCGACTGCATTTTCTTTGAAGACACTGAAAGAAAATGTAGGTTAGGAAGCTGAAATACTTTGGCGCGATGCTATTTGACAGATTATAGAGTGTTGTTTGCAAAGCAGCCAATCAAGGAGTGCCATTCACTCGTTGCTGATTGGCTGCACTGCAGATACAAGGAAGCTTCTGTGTTGGTGCTGAGATGGTTTCTACTGTGGGTAATAATTACTTTTCATTATTATTATTATTATTATATTTTATTTACAGTTATATAACAAAGATTAAAAATAATTTATTGGCAAGGAGTTGATAATTTTTCTGACGCTGTATGTTTGATTACTTATAATTGTCATTATTACTATTATTGTTATCTGCAGATTTTCTTGCATTATGAGTTAGTTTGTAACCATTTTGTCTATGTAAAATAATTTATTTGTTGGCTCTTTAGCCCCGTATATTAAACAGGAATGTGAATATTATTACATGGTTTTAATTACAGATTTTTGATGATTATTGAGTCAGTAATAAATATATTTCATTAAACAGAGATAAGGGCTGGGATTAAATAAATGTTCACTTCTTCCTACTTCTTTTCAAACAGAAAAGGAGAGGTAAACTAATTATTTTGTTAAAAACTAAAAGCATGTGAGGGGTTCTATAATCTTTGTGGACTTGATCTATTTGTGGACAGCTTCCAGGATATAAATAGCATCTTTCAACCTTTTCAAGCCGAAACCTGATTGTAAACTTTAAAACTCTAAGGCAGAGATGCTTGTTTTCCAGTGAAAGAGCACATTGTGCACTTCCAATATTTATATTAAGGTCAAAAACGGTTTCTCTAACTTAATAAAATTAACAAAAGTCCTTGAAATGTTTCCTTTGTATAAATTTTAATTTATCTTCTACATTAGCATCCTAAGAGATAGACTCAATGTTTCGCAGTTGAATAACTTTTTTCAACCACATTTGTTGTTTCTATAAACCTTAAAAGGGAAAAGTGCAAAGTAGACGCCCTTCATGGATAAACCATTGAAGCAAAAAGCAGTGTGCAATACGTGGGCTCCACACTGACCTGTTAGTTCACCGTACAATCTCATGACCCGAATCAAGTCGGCGATGTATGCTAACGTCACAGCTCATAAATCAGGCAAACAAAATTTCCCTTAGATTCAGCCTCTGATGGATGACTGACTTTCACTTTCTTCTGTATCATTGGTAATAAACTGAACAGACATTTTCCCAGAAGGCATTGGCACAAATATGGAGCAAAAGGTCTGACTAGAGATAAGCTCTGAACACCAACAACCTCAAGTACGTCCAGTTCAACTGATTCTTCTGTTTTGCCCTCATGGTCTTTTCCATTTGTTCCTGCTGAGGTTTGTTTACCTTATTGAGTTGTGCCATGCTTGATCTATATGCAATAATATTTCTAAATGCAACAACATTTCAGTGTGGGTGTCAACTAAATGTAATTTTATTACATTTATTTTTGCATGTTATGATGTGACCTTAAAATAAAGCCCAAACCATCCCTAGCATGCTTTTAATTGGGACCGGCTGCTTTGTATTGCTGATTCAAAATTATATTTAACGTATGAAACTTGCATTTCACAGGAAGTGATACCAAAATAGCCTTTTAATGATGAGCTGATAACACGGTTGTTTATCAGCGCTTGGTTTCCTTTTGTGAAATACAGCATGACAAAACTAAATTAAAAACAATCAACTTGCCTTCAGCTGAAAACTTTGACTTTTCCTCCTTTACGACCAAATGACCAGGATTCTTATGCAAACAAACTTCATGAACCACGAATAAGGCTTTTCATATTTTACAAACTTTAAGCGCTATATTTTAAAACTTGACTTCTCCTCTACAGGCTGAAAACACATAACCAAATGTTTCACATTTTATCTGACCTGTGAAATGTTAAGCTGCTCTTATATGACTTAATATATCTACAGAAAGCCAAAATTACATTTAAATACATGTATTCAAAGGTATTTACAAAAGTCATTACCTTTTTCTAAATAAACTGTTTTCAGGCTTGACTTTTCACTCTGTAATTCTCCAGCATTTATGTTTTTCCTTTTATTGTTGCAGCTCAATGACAATTTGGTAAATAATATTTTTGTACAACTTTAAATTAGATGAAATATATTTGAATTCATGTCTTTGAAATTAGGAAAAGAAATAAGGAAAGGAACAATCTAAACCTGGAAAATAAAACAACAGATTTTGGTACTGCTACTACAGACAGTCTGAGGACAGATGCATATGCTGGTGTTGTTTGTGAGCATAAAGTTTATTATAAAGTTAATCAGGTATGAAAATGTTTTCTTTAACAGTACTTTTTCTATTTTATGTCCATCTTTAAGCATGAAATACTGGCTAATATCAGCAGATTGAGCTAAATTAGCATTTGCTCTCTGTGGATGATTGTCTTGCATCTTGTCAGGATAATTTGCTTCAACTACCAATGTGTTGTTGTTTTTTTTTAAACAAAAAAGAAACTGTTTTCAGCTGCAGTCTGATCAGTATTTTAATCTATTTTTCACCCATTACATGTGTAATATAAGCCTGAAGTTACTTTTCAGGACTCAAAAACATATTTTAAGGAATTGTAGTCGGCATTTTAACGCCATGAAAGATGGCGTCTCAGGCTTTGAAAGCTACACAACTGTGGTGCAGTAAAGCTTTTATCAACAAAGAACTGATTCAGTGGAGAAAAGGAAACTTTATTCTATCGTCTTTTTCCATTCACTGCTGTGGTGAATTACAGGGAGGTTGTGTTCCCCACAGGGACATTTAAAGACCATGTAAGGCTGCCGGTTTGCTAGATCTCCATCCTCATGCGTTCAGGACCATTTCTCTTGGCATAATTAACTGAAAAAGTTGTAAAAATAATGAAATATGTCTTAATTTTGCATTATCGTGAAGGATAGAACAAATTCAGCACATCTAAGTGGATCTGTTGTTCTCTGCTGCAAGGAGGGAAAATCTCTTATTAGGAGAAACAGTTAATATAAGTGAAATGCTTGGTAGAGTTCTGACGGTAAATCTCTCAACACGTGATTCATATACGTCACATACTTTCTGTTATGCTATAAATAAAGAATTTTCAATTTGTTTAAGTGGTTATTCTTCGCAGTGCTCCAACCCTTTTAAAGGGATTTTAGGATAAAAACAGCAAAAAGATCTCAACAAAACCGTATCAACTTATAATCAAATGAGTCACTGTAGGGTTCCAAGGTTTTTCTGTCATTTTTACCAACATCTTCTAAATAAATAAGAACTTAAGTATTCACTGAGACATCCTTCAAATCTCTGGCATACTTCACAGAAATGAAGCAATTTCACGTCATTTTTATTTTATTTTTAGCCTGGTATTTTTATCCACAGTGGATGAATATTAGTTTTAAATGAGTCACCTGACAATTGACCTTCAGAATTACACAGGGAGTGACACTTTTCTTAATCTTTACTTCCCCACCAATCTTTTCATTTTCAAGACATTTCTGGATTTCATGGACAAACTAAATTAGAGCTCGACATCTTCAGCAACTCACATGACATCTATATGCACAGAGGATAAAGATGCATCCTCAAATGCTCCATTTCCAGACCATTTGGTGTGATAATGAGAGGTCAGAAGGTCAGCGCTGATAGAGGACACACAATTAAAAGATAGGAAGTGGTACCAGGACCACTTTTAGCTTCCTGACCTGAATCCCTGACGCTGAAAATGGAACTTCAGTCCCAAAACTCCTGGCTCAGATCTCAAATCAGGTAATACACAAAGCAAAACAACATAAACTTTACAGCAAGGTTACTGGAGAAAAGCTCCAACATGACAGAGAAGCCTCAACGTTTGAATATTAAAATAAGGACAAAGCCACCTGGAGATTAGAGGAAAACAAGGTCAAAGAATTAAATTACCCACGAGAGGGAAGCTCAAACCCATGCAGACAATTACTCAATTTACCCCAAACGTCAGAAACGGTTCCTGAGATATGAACACCCACACGCTCATTCAAGAGTACGTAGCAACAACCACGTGGAAAGAAATACGCAGTTTCACTAAAAATGGATTTTTCTAAGAGCAGCTCTACGGCAGTTTTGTGAATTAAATAAAGAGAAATACAAAAGAGAAGAAAACGAAGCAGACCTACCACAGGTCTGAATGATCGCAGCGGTTTAGAGTGAGCCACCAAACAAGCCAAGGTGTCCTCCTCGCCCGGACGATCCACTACATGAGCGTCGTAGGCCACCATGATGGACACCTCCTGCATCATCTTGGTTCCTGCTTGCTCCGAGCAGCGAGGAGGAGGAGGAGGGGTGGACGAAGAGGAAGGAGGGAACCAAGTGGGGAAGTAAAGCAGCCGCGGCTGAGAGGTTTTGTTCCTCTCTGAAAGTGCAGAAGGCGACTGGCTGCCTTCAAGAGTCCCACAGAGGCAAAGCCACGCCCACTGAGGAGGAGGAGAGCAGAGGGAAGGGAGAGAGCAGCACAGCACACCTGTTTGTCTCTCCCTCTCTGAAACGCTAGAAGTGCGTGACAGAGGAGGATGAGTTTGCTATTTCTTCCTCTCCACTGAGCACTTCCCTCTTTCTGCTCACTCTCTCTTGTTGGTGCTCCTCCCTTCTTCAAACGCTCTTTTTCTGTTTCCTGCTGCTCGTGAAAATGAAGAGAAAGGCCTGTTTACACGGTTACACTCTGTAGAAGTGTGTATGAGCGATAGGAAGGAAGTAGTCACATCAACCGCAGTGACTTCAGTTACATTCCCACAGTAGTAGATGCAGAGAGGGAGAATTCAAAGAATCCCAAAGGAATCAATTAAAGCTTTCAATAAAACTCCTTCAAGAGATCTGATAACAGCTTCGCAATCTGCTGTTAGGAGAGAAACATGTTATATTAAAGAAACAAACCGCGAGAAATCCTTTCCATTACCAACTTTTTTCACCAACCTTTGCAACTAAAAGCAAAACAAACTGGGCTTGCAGCTGATAATTATTAGCTTGGCCACTGAGTGCCGTAATAAAGTAAAACTGATCACTTTAAAAGTGGTTGAATGTTCTGCAATGATCTATAAAGCCCTATATAGATCATTCAAGACTTTCAAAGGTAAATTTGCACAAAAGTATTATTTATCTGGCTACCTGGTTCCTCTGCATAGTTCCTGACAAACATTCTTGACCTTTCCTGCACAGGGTCAAACTAAGATCGACCACCAGCTCCCACCATGTTTGTAGGTTTACATTTATCTTTAGATCTTAGAAGTTTAAAATATTAATACAGCTTCTGTGTCTTCACCCATGATTCAAAGTTATGTTTTACTCCTTGCTCTTATTGTGCCTTAGTGTGAAAAAGAAACAAAGGTCTATTGAAGTTTAGGTTCTCAGCTGGTTAATCAATCGACCCCATAAGTAGGAAATAAATGCAAAGCCTTTCATCTGTTTTTTTAAAGTCATCACTCTGGTTGTGGGTACGTTTTTCAAAACCGGCTGAGAAATTCAAATTCCTCCTAAAATCCGCAGAGAGCTTAAGCCACTCCACCCGTTATGTTCATCAAGCAAAGGTGCCGAGAAATTCTTTCGCTGTTTTAAGCCGCTTATGGAGTTCGGCTGATCCGATTTAAATGGTGACAGACGGAAATATGGGGAATAAAAGGGAGGGTGAGGAGAAGAAATGCATCTTGGATGAGATGGTCTGCCTTCTGGGTAGGATGAAGTATGAGAATGACATTCTTACTTTATGAAAAGCAAAAGTACTTTTCTTAGTGTCGGCCTTCATCAAGAAATTAACATTTTCTTGATGAAAACATTGCCTTATGAATTTGTGGTATAAAGAAACTGAAATTAAAAATGATTGCATATATATTTATTTTTGAAAGCAAAAGCAGAGAAATCTAACAATATTCCTACATTGTTGATAAAAATAATGTTAAAGTTAATCTTAGGAAGGCAAAAAACAAGAAAGTATATAAGAGTAAAAGGAAGAAAACAAGGAAAGGATAGAAGGACACATAGAATGATGTGAGGTAGGATACAAAGTGTATCAAATAATAGTGTATAAGAAAGGAAACAAGGAAAAGAAAGAAAGGAAAGATAAAGGAGAACATAAGGGAGGAAAAAAATGAAGGACATACGGAAAGTAAAAATGCAAAACATGAAGAAAGAAAGGAAAGAAGGAAGAATGATAGGCAACAAGGAAATACAGAGTATATAAGTGAGGAAAGGAGAAAAAAATGAAAGGAAGAAGGAAGGATGCAAGGACGAAATGAAGGAAGGACAGACCAAATATTTAGACATTTGGATAAGAAAAAATTCTGGAATACAATTCTTTTATTTTTCATTCAGACATGGAAAATAAATTCCAGACAGTAAATTATGATGCATGTGAATCTTTCATAGACAGGAAATGTGTGTGTGTGTGTGTGTGTGTGTGTGTGTGATGCTGTTACACTGCAGGCTAACGTGACCTGCTCTGACCTGTAAGGGCTGAAGTTAGATGGATAAGACAGAAATGAAAACAGAGTGAAGAGAAGCGCATGGCATCGTTTCATCTTCATCTCCATCAGACTCACTTCATGCCGTTGCATCCACAGGGAATGTTCTATTTAAAGCTTGCAAGTGGTTTAAAAATATAACAGAGGAGGGGCATAAACTCATGAGGAAAGCTTTAGGCAATCACAGATGGTTTTTTTATGTTTATGTCATTCAAGACGGGTTAATGATCTGTATTTTTTTACCTCATGAGTGAAAAACTGAAGGCTGGTTTTGGTTTCATTGTTAGTTTATGTTCCTTTAACTTCACAGATCCAAAACTATTAAAAAAAAATTTTTAACCAGAGATTCCTACAGATGAGAACAAAAATCTACTGGCTCCAAATTAAACAAAATTGGCAAGCTGATCAATTTTTCTACCAAAGATTAGTTAAGAAAAAATGCAGGCAAACAAAATTGAAGAAGCTTTTTTAAAGAGAAACTTTAAAAAAGTTTTATATTTTCAGAGATATATATTAAATATATGCACTCCTTTAGGCTGTGAGCGCAAGTAAAACCTCTACAGTTAACAGAAAAAACAAACAGAAAACCGACCAGCTTCTTTCTTTTATTTCAGATTTAAACCTTTATATATTAAGCATCTGAATATCCTGGAACTTTGCAGGGATTCAATTTCTATAAACAAGAAGATTGTTGCAATAAGGTCCTAAATTAATGAAACAATAAAAGTAATTTATTTCTCAATTTCCCCCTTTTTTAGCGTGAAATGCAACGCCCTGTTTTATTTAAAGAAAAAGATGAAGTTGTGTTGAATCAGGCAGATGGCCTTGCTTTAGACATATAGAATAAGAATGAAAAAGTTTATCCCTGAAAAATATTTCAAACCAATAGAGAAATATTGGACAGAAAATCCTAATAATCCACCCAACTACATTTTATATTTGCATTTCTGTTTGAGAAAAAGGCAAAAAAGAAACTTTAGTCAAAAGGAACTAATGTTTCAGGAGTCAAGAAGGAAAAGATAAATAAATAAAAAATAGATACAATGATGCAAGAAGAAACTGAATACGGAAAGATAAAGAGAACGAGATACAAATTCTTGATTTATCTTGTGGCTTTTTTCTTTATCTCACCTACTGACTGGCATGAAGGAACAGCTCAGTGAGTAACCAGGAAGAGTTTTTTAATGTCTGATAATCCAGAAAATTGTTAAAATATTAACCTAAGCAGATAAAACAAGATAAAACCTCAGTAAAAAAATATTTCAAACCAATATTTAACCAAATCAAGGAAGCAGGAACTGCAGAAAGGCCTGAAAATGGCATGACCTGACTTATTATCATTTAAAAAAGGAATGTGCGAGAAGGCAGCATTTGCTTCTCATTCATGAGAAGAAGGCGAACATATCTGCATATTTATGCATTACGTTATACGTTTTTACTTTTGTACACATTGTACTTCTGCAAGATTTCACAAGTAAAGCCAGAGATAAGAAGTGAGTCACAGAGTGGACGTCCTGTATGTACTAAAATTAACAGTCACACATTGGGCAATACAAACACTTAAAACTTGTTACTCTCGATTGGAGTCTTGCAGTTTGTGCCTTACCTAAAAGGGAGCAAAAATACTCCTTTGAAATCTAAAACTGGAAAACCTTCTCCCTTCTCATATCCCATCACTGCACACACTGCCAAAATACACACATGCATACATATCAAGAACACGCCGTGCCGCTGTGGTCTCTGGTGATTTCAGCAAATTCCCTAAATACCAACAACCTACTTTCAGCAGCAGGATGATAACATGTGCTGCCTGTTATGAAAACAGACACTGACGTTCTGAGATAAAATAGGTCTCCTATTTCCCAACTGAAAAGACGAGCAATTAAATTAAAATGTAAAAGAAAGACGATAAAGCACAACTTAGTCATAGAGTATGTCTATTTTTTGGTTTTTTTAATTATTCTAAAAGCAAATGTTCAGATTTTCAGTTTTCTTCCGTTTAAAAGCACTATTTTTTAACTGCGTTTCTTTAAAGGCATGCGAGTTATGAATTAAGTCGGAATTTTATTTAGATTGTGCCGAGTTTTTATTTTTTAATTTCATAAGTTCAAAATGAAATCTAGCACCAAACAATAGGCCCTGAACATATGAGCACGTCCTGTGTCACCTTGATGTTGCAGGCTTGCTCCATCAGCCGCCGCGCGTTCTCTGCAGCTCTGTAGCGCTTCGGTAGCTGGACCCGGAAGAACTTGAGAGCCCCCTCAAAGTCCGCCTGCAGGAGGTCTTCTTTGGACGTCTGGAGGGAGACAAGACGAGGTGGATGAGACACATGCAGCACAAACACCGAGCACGGAGCCTCCACAGCTGGTCTTTTTCATCATACGAGTTGTTTAACAACAAGGTCAGAGTCATGCAGTTAAGTACATGGGGCAGTACTGTTTTTATTTACATGAACTTGATAGAGTAACAGTAAAAAAAGAAAATGTAAAGCCTTTATATTGAGGAAAATATAAAAAAATTACATTTCACCGGCAAAATAATGCAAAAACAAAATCTTACAAAGTAATGTTGGTCTATTTTCTAGAACAAATATCTTAGCACTCTTAAAATAAGAAAAGTAACTTACAAGTAACTATTGATAGCTATTGATTAGTCTTTTGTTTAAAATATTTGAAGAGCAGCCAAATTGGTAGCGTGGCCGTTCCAGTTTATCCAGTTTTCACTCAACACAGCTGTTTTTAATTTTTAAGAAGTTATGAGGCACAGAGGTGAAAACTGAAACTGAAAACCTCCTGAGGTTGTTGTAACAACCTCAGGAGGTTGTTGCTAGGTAACAACCTCAGGAGATTGTTGCTAGGTAACAACCTCAGGAGGTTGTTGCTAGGTAACCAAAGAGCGAGTGAGTGAGTAGATGCCACCAATCTTGATTAGCTTCCCGTTAGAAGTTGAGCAGCTAAAGTTTTTCCTCTGCCTACGTCCCCCAGAATGCTGTGCGGTTCTGGATCAGAGCTCCGGATTATTTTGTCTGTTCAATATTCAATGAGACAGATTATCTATTGATATTGATCATGTCATGTGTTTATTGTGATACATATTGTTATTGATTTATTCTCCAGTCCTAATCGCAGATGAAATAATGGAATGAAATGTAGCTTTTTGTCTCATTCTGTTTTCAGGAGGAAAAAAATCAACGATGCATGCCGAGCAAATTTAATCCAGGATGTTTATTCCAGTTTGTCTCGTCTCACCGCCAGCAGCCTGGGGACGAAGAGTCTGTGTCCCATCCCAAGAAGATCCATGACCCTGCAGTAAGGGTCCGCTGAGGTTTGGCTGCCCTGGGCGCTCTCCTCCTCTTTTCCCTCGCCATCCTCCAGCGCCCTGCATGCGGCCGGGAGGGTCAGGTGAGGGTTCAAGGCCGGGACGGAGGGAGGAGAGGGCGGCGGGGAGCGAGGCGGAGACGGCGGTGGGGTGGGACAGGGCAGAGGGGAGGGGTCGTCCCGCTCCGGGGCCAGGCTGGCAGCTGACTCCAGGGTGTCGGGCAGATGTTTATCAGTTAGTGGTGATCTTTTAGATTTGTTTGCGTCTGGTGTTGGACGTCGCGTGGCGGCCCCTCAGCTTGTCCCGCTGTCAGAGCCTCAGCTCAGCCCCCTGATGCCTCAGAATCACAGTCAGAAAACGATGAGTCGACACCGCCAGCTGCATAATGCTGAGTCCTACAGCGACGTATTTATCCACTCTGGGAATCCAGTCACACTTCCTGCACTCGGCTTCCTCTGCAAAAACTCAGACCAATTCCAGTGCGGTATGCTGTCACCTAGCAACAAAATGGCTCAACACGTGGGCTGCTGCTTCATGAAACAAAAGCGGAGACCCCACCTTTTTTTGATTTCTTCTTTTATGTTAAACTTCAAATCCCTCCTCCCCTGACAACGCTTTAGCTTTCTTTGAAATCCAAAACAACAACACAGCTCCTTATCCACTCTCTGAAGCAGGAACAGTCGGTGCAGAGAGAAGAGAGGAGGTTTGTTAACGCTGGAAATATGGCACTTCTCCGCCTGCAGGAGATGATGCTCAGTGTTACTTTGGCTGAGTGGATGCTGGACGCACACAAACCAACGATGCATTAAAAACCAGAATAAGAAGTAAAAGAAAACATAAACTGTTCTTTTTCTTCACAGATCCACGCTGGATTAGTGAGTAAAATCATATTCCAGTCAGCTGCTCCTGCAGGATCCTATTAGCAGCCGGGCATCCGGTCTGGTCTTTCAGATGAAGCCAGCTCCTTCAGAGAGGAAGTTTCTTCTGATCCACACAGGATGAGTGCTGGCATGAGTTAATGTTGTAGCACTGTCAGAAATGTTGGTCCTGCCGGGCAGCCGGGGCGAGGCAAAGCAAAGAGACCTCACTGCTTCCCATGAAGCCTCTCCCAACCTTTGTGATGCTAACTGCTAAAATGCTAACAGCTGGCAGGGGCGGCTCCGTTGCAGATGATGGACGGAAGAAACGCGTGGTAGAAATAAATATTCAGCAGAGAGAACAGAGGAAGAGATGGAAGGAGAGGAGAAGGAGGCAAAAAGGCGAGAAAGCGAGGGAAAGAAGATGCTCCGAGCATGAATCCGTGGAAGGTAAAGATGAAGAGGGTGGGATAAAAAGAACCAAAAGCTGAGATTTTCTCCCTCTGGCTCAGGTTGCTAATGTTATAGCCAATGCTCCTGTTGTGATGTGGATAGCAACTGCTAGGCTGGGCAGGGAGGGAGGCAAGCGCAGATGAAGGGAGGGGTGGTGAGAGCAGCGGGTAACGCAGGAGGGAAGCAGGAGGATAATGTCGTCATGACCGGCCAATAAGAGGCAGGCAGTGGGAGCTCCTCCACTCACCTCCCCCTCTTCATCATAATCATCATCCTGACCATCCTCATTTGTTCCCATTGCAAACCACTGAATCCTCAAATCTCTGCGCTGCTTCTACGTAGCTCCATTTGTCAACATATACAAACATTTGCACAGTTTTACCATACTGTTTCTTCACAGCGGCATTGTTTTATTCACAATGGTATCGTCTTACATTCTATTTGCATTATCATCGTTTTTTTCTTTTTTTTTTATTTATGTGTGCATGGAACGAATAAATTATTCAGTTCTATTCAAAACATAAAATTAGTTTTTATGGTGAATTCACTGTAGGTAAAATACCTACTGTACTTTCACAAGAATGTTGTTCTCTGCTGTTTTCTAAGCAGCAGCCTGTTGCTGTCGTCTCTGCAGATGCTCATCATGCCTTGAGATGAGAAATAATTACAGCTATTACGACTATTATCAATATTATTGCTACTAATTAATGAAGCTGTAAATTATTACTGCATCATGGAATATTAAATTTTTCTTAATTTTATGTTGCTCGTGGTTATATTTTATCTATTAATATGTAACAATTTAGATTGAGTAGCTTAGACATAGTCTATTCTGTTATATATTGATATAGAAATAATTTTAGCATGTTAAAAACATTTGATTCTTGCTCACAGTGGCATGTAAACAGACCTGGATGCCTGCTTTTATAAAATATTAAAAAACACTGTTATAACCAAGTGAAAATTAATAATTATTTATTTGATGATGCTATTAATGTAAAAGGGGTGGGTAAAAAAAATAAGGTTATACTTCTACCCACTGCTTTGAACGTGTAAATACATATTACTGTTCTTTTTCTCATTTTTGCTTTAAATTAATTTTATCTGTATATAACTTTGTTTATTTATTCCAATATGTTCAATAAAGTCAAACTTACTCATGGGGCTGCTACTTTGGGTTGATGCCCCTAATAAAAGAGATTTCTGAAGTTGTACCAAATTTTAGACTAATGCAGCTTTTGAAGATCTTCTAACTAAAACTGTTCAGCTAATCATTCGCTTTACCTACTTTTTTGTTTTGAAACCGTCAACGAATGACCGAAGCCAAACGTGCCCGATGTATGAAAGGCCCACAGACATCCTAGTGTCTAAGATAAATTATTCTCTACATGGTGCAGCCACTAATTTAAGAAAATTTAAATGATGCCAGAAAACTTTGATCCTAAATCCAAAGCAATGACACATTGTCTTTGTTTCGGCAAGATCTTTTAAAACTGTAAAAACAAAACATACATTAATAAGACACTAATTGAAAAGTAAATGAGATGCGATTAGATTTGTAGTCTAATAGATGGGTAACAAAAATATATTCATACCAAAATTTTCCAGTACTGAACGAAGACCTTAAAATCCAACTAAGTCCATCTTTGTGTACCTTTACACCCGTACTGCAAACAAAAACCAGGAGGCCCCACATAACAGCAAAACATGGACTATAAATTACACAAAATCCATTGCAATTCAGAAAGACATGACAATATGACATGAATAAAGCCACTACAGCATTTAGTGCTCATTCTTTAGAAATAAAGAATGAATACATTTGTCTTATTTATTCTTTCAATATAAGAATATGTTGGTGAAAGAAAATAATCCCAACAAACAACAATTTATATCACTCTGATTAGCAACCAGATAAAATAGAAAGTTGTTTTTCTTTCTCTCTTAATCATTTTGACATTTTATTTAAGCCAAAGTGTGGAAATGCATTTGATCTCCCAACGTCCACATGCAGTTCTTTTTATGTGCACTTGGGGGCGCCAAATATTAGAAAATGGTTTTGAACCCGCTGCTCCAGTGTTTAGTACAAATTTTAGAGAAGAGAATAATGACGTTGGAAATCAAACTTTACAGTATTTTCCAATATCAAGAATTTTGCAACGCAAATAATGAATAAACAGTCAAATAAAGCTCAAATTAAAACAAAAGATGCTCAAATTTTGCATAGAAGCTAATTGTATAGCTAGACATAATAAAAGATGTTAGAATTAAACAAATGTGTGACTATATTACTAACCTTGAGCAAAGCCAGGGCCACATTGAAGATGATGCTCAGTCCCTGTAAGACACAGAGAAAAATGCAAGTTTTTACTTTGCAAAAAACAAAACATACAAGAAACTATTTTAGTAAACTTTAAGTTTCATAGCCAGTGTAATTTTTTCTTTTTGAAACATTAATTCTCTAGATTAAATTTTAGCCCATTTTGAACGTACAAATAAAATAGATCCTTACAGAAACACTACATATTTCTATAGTGGTCCTGCTAAAGTATTTATACCTCTTGAAATCTATTATTTAGTTACATCTTACATAAATATTTCATTGCTTTTGAGAGAGGGTCATAGGAGATTTGTGTGACAAGTCAACAGAAAGTATAGCATAAAAGTGAATTGGAAGAAAAGTTATGCATAGATTTCAATTGTTTTTACTCACAAAAACCTGCATTTGTGCTGTAACTTTGGAGTAAATCTCATCCTTAATTTTCCACAAAACATTTAAATCATTCTTAGATAAAGTGAGTTCAGTCTGGTCAGTTCAGCCTCTTTTAATGTTCGATCAAAATGAAACGCTTTAGGGCGTCCTGTCTCTTTAAGTCCAAATTTACTGTGGCTGGCCACGTCCCCCCAACTCATCGTTTGCACTCGCAAGTGAAAATGGCTACAAACAGATACGTAATTATATAACTTTAAATCTTTGAAAAGCAGAAGTAGAGCCTCCTGCACAACCAACAAAGATGCAGAAAGTGTTTTCTGGATGCTAAGTCAACAACAAAACACCGGCTGACTCTGCCTGGGTTGCGAGGCAACGGGTTGGGATCAGCTGGGCTTTTCTGCTGATTTGTGACATTAGACTCTGAAGGTTTCTGAAATGGCTCCTTTTTCAGACACCAAAAACATATTGCCAAAAACCGACTGGGATATTTTTTTTTAATGCTTGGGCTGTTTCCAGAAGCAAAAATGTGAGTTTTGATTAATACTTGCCCTTTAAGGTGACCTTAGGTATGACCGCTCTATTTGTTAAGATTCAAAACATCGTCTACATTCTGTTAAAAAGTACAGTGTTTCACAGCTTTCTTTCTTAGCTTTATGCCCGGGGCCACTGTAAAAACCTGCTTTTTGCTTTCCATTTTACTGTGACAGTTCTTTCACTTTTGACACAAAAAGAAAACGTAGAACCGATGCCGGCTCTGCATGGGAACACCCCTCTCCTTGGTCTCTGGGACAACCAGTTCACATGGCAACATGGAGCTAAAAATATCCAGAGCTCCAAAAATAACCGAAGAAAATGAAAAGAAGATGTGCTCTGCCTCCACACACCGATCTTTGTGGGCCTGAAGATGGTGCTACCATGCTGAGCCAAGATCAAAGGAGCGTGTGAGGGAAAGAAATACCAACTCATCCCAGCAAGGAAGAATGAGAGGAGATGAAAGCCAAATATTCAGAAAGGGGAGGACACAGTATGGGTGTGTTAGGAAGTTTTCACAAATACTAAAGTGAGGTGAATTGTTCAGATCCAGCAAGGTCACTCGTTTAAAAAAAGACATAAAATAAGTTTCGGTCCTGAGTTCTGGTTTGCAAATAGAAAAAAATAGATTGAGAAGTAAAAACAAAAGCTGGAGATTTTGAATAATAAAACAGGCTTACAAGTTCAGCTATGAAAACCTCGTTTACCTAAAAAATTAGGTAAACGAGGTTGTGAATTAGATGGAGATTGTTGCTAAGAACTGAGAAAATAAAGATAATCACTTTAATTTTTAAATTTAGACCCCAAAACAGGAGGGTTTCAGAGGGATGTGAGAGCTGAGGTTTTACTGGCACGTTTTCATCATGCAGCTCATTGGCTGAGAAAAAACAAGGAAACTTTTAATTATTCTGCCTCAGGCTCACAGAAGGAAAGAGACGGAGGGAGGACAGAAGAGGGACAGCAGGAAAGAGGAGGAACATATTTCATGTTTGTTTATGCAAAGAAACTTTTTATAAAAAAAACTCAATAGGTTATAGGGATGGTTTTAGAATCACTTTCAACTTTAGAAATAATTTCTACTTATTTATTACGAGAAATATCAAAAAAGAAGATTTTTTTTCAAGCGTTCAATAACTCAAATCAAATTTAAATACATTCATACACTAAGATTATTGTACTTTTTAACAATTTTGGAGCACATTTTATGATTTAATGACTTTTAAAGCTTCTGATGAGGTTAAATTATGTCTCAAAATCCTTAAAGTGACCACCTTCATCTGTTCAAACAACTACGGATCAGCATAAAAAGTATATGAATTCAGACTATTTTAGCATTTAAAGAAGGTAAAGTTTCAGCCTGCAAATTATTTGTACATTTTGGAAGAAAATTTCTTATTCTGCCACACAGACAAAATACCATAATTGGACCTGCTGCTTCTTCTTGGTGTGGTTGAGTGCCTTTAGTTAATTTTAGTTGTATATATTATTATTATTATTGTGTGTTTGTTTATTTAATATTGTATATTTTGACTTTTTGCACGGGAGTTGCAATAGAAATTTCGTTGAATCCTGTTCAATGACAATAAATGCTATTCTATTCTATTCTATTCTATAAAAAGTTAGTAAAAATCTGGTCTATATCATATACTAACATATACTCTAATAATTAGATAAAATACTCTATCAACTTAAGAAACCCCTAATTTTCGTTGCTGTCAAGTACTTTCCTGTTAGATGTATTAAAGCTTATTTAAAATGATTGATTTTCTGGCACAAATCTCAGTTTGAAGCTCATAATTTTGAAATACGGGAGGCTAGTATGTTTGAAGGAGTCAAGATGAGGCTTTAAACCTTAAAACCCCCAGTATGGTGGTCAATTTGAGGGTCCACTTCATTACCAGTGATACTGGTGAGCTGCAGGGATGGGAAAGTTTTATTTACTTCACCTTCAGCCAATAGTTTCTGATTAAAACTTTTTTGTGCACAATTAAATGTTCCAACAGGGTTGTGGTGTTTAGTTAAACACCACAACCTTATTGAAAACATGCAGACTATGGTTAAAGATGAGGTATTTCACATCAAAATTCCTTTTTTTGTCATTGTGCACGAACGCACAACTAAATTAAAAAAAATAGAAACTCTCAAAGGCATAAAGAAACAGAGCAACTGGGATATTAAGGAAAAATAAATTATGTAATTATTTAATTATATTAAATTAGTAAATAATTAGCAATTTTTTTGTGATGTATAAAACAAACAAGTGGTACAATATCAAGTCAGAACTTTCAGACGTTAAATGTTTTGACAGAAATGTGTGGTTTCTTTTATAGTGAGGAGGATCCATTTTTTATAAATTAAAGTAGGTGTATGTACAGTTTAAATCTGTCTGCCATTTTGATCGGATCAGAAAAAAATAATACAATAACGAAAAGCTCCAAAAACATTAATACCAATGAGGAGTGTATGCAAACTTCTGACCACAAAGGCACAGATCAACCGTTTTCCTCCACAATCATCTCTTTTTATTCCCATTTGTAATCTCTTTAGTCAATTCATAATGGTGGCTAACCCTCTAATGTCTGCCACTTTCCTTTCTTCCTATTAACCTTACCATTTCATCCATTTCATCTTATTTCACGTTTCCAGATGGTTGAATTTCTCATTAAGCGATTCTATACATACAATGCAGACTAAATCCCTCTCACAATGCTCCAAGTATACCACTTTGTGCTGCCTTTACCTCACAAAGCAGCAAGTCAGTGATGTGGAAAACCATGCAGAGGGGGAACTTGGCCGTAAAGAGGGTGAGGAACCACTGGGAGGCATACATGTGTGCCTCCAGGTTCAGCTCCTGGAAGTGGGCCCAAAGGTCTGGGAGCTGTTCCTGCAGGAGCAGAATGGAAAAAAAAGGACAAGGAAAGTGTTTTGAGATAAAACAACCCTCACAGCAATATAAAGCAAAGATGCAGTACTGCTCATGGCTTCTAGTTTAAATTTCAGTGACATAACAATGAGGGTTTGCACCGAAATGAAACCAAAATCATAGAGTGAGCTTTTTAAAAAAGCATAAGAAACTCTATGACCAGTACTGTACTCTAATAAAATGCTGATTTGAAAAAATGTAGAAAAGGGTCGACCATCGCAGATTTACCGAGGCTTGATTTTCAACACACCTCTCCATATTCTTGAGACTTTCAAGTATATTTGGTGACCAGAGGGAAAAGTTGACAAGCAACAGATATGTGAGAAAATGCAACTGATGCAACACCTGGTAACGCTTAAAAAAAAGTTTATATTAAACGTTGCAACAACATGTAAGACCAACATGCCCAATCCCAAAACATACATTTATAAAACTCTACTGATACTTCTAATTAGGATTGTGTTTTCAAACATTACGTTGTATTTCATTTCACTGTGACTTGTCTTTTAAAACTTACGGGTCGGTTTCACAAACCTGCATTAGTTTCTCCAGCTGATAGAACTTGCAGTGAAGATCTTCAAAGTTGTTCTTGTAGAGAGCTCTGAGGCCGTATTCGTACATTATTTTCACCAAGACACAGAAGGCCTGCTCCTCAGGCATCTGAAAACACATAGATAACGTCATTAATTACACTAATAGATGCCTTGAACAACAAAATGTTCAAATGATGTTACAGGTTACATTATTACAGTCTCAAAATAAACATTTATATACAGAGGAAAGTTGGAAATAACTTTAAAGATGACTTATTATGCTTACCTGTTTAGGGTAGGTCTATGGTCTATACAAAACATATTCATAAATTTTTTTTTACACAAAGTTATTCTTTGAAAATGACATTTCATTCAGCTCAGCTTTGCCTCTTTTGAAGACCTTTCAGACTAAGCTCCTTTAGAGCCTCTGGTCACTTTAAACTGAACTAAGCTACTGCTGGCCACGTCCCCCATTCACACTGGCAAAATGGCTGCAAACAGATGTGCAATTATACAACCTCAAATCTTTGAATAGCAAAAGTAGAGCCTCCTGCACAATCAACATGAATACTGCAAGTTATTTCTAGATGGTAAGTTGACAACAAAACACTAGTCTCCTCCAGCAGGCATTGTACAGCGCATGCAGAGTAAAGCCAGCTGGCCAAAACATGCTGGAGTTCAGCTGGGGTAGCTGGGTAACAGGCTGGGCTTTGCTGGGGTTGATTTGTGACGTTACATTCCAGAGGCTCATTTTCAAGAATCAAAAAACATTTGCTTATCACCTGGACGCTTTTCAGAAGCAGTCTACCCCCAAATAGAAGTACAAAAATGTGCAAAATGTAAATATTTGCCTTTAACAATTTTATTATAAACAAGCTCTCTTCATGTTTCTGTTTGTTTGGGCACATAAATATAAAGCTTATGAGGGAAAATGTAACACTGGGTCTTTGTGGGTATTAATGGCTCCACACAAACACACACAGAGAGGGAGGAGATATTTAATCAGAGATACAGTGTGTGTTTGGAGCTGAATGCACTTCTGCAGGTAAAGTTGAACCCCAATAAATATTCCAGACACCTTGTCTATACACAACCAGTCAGCCTCCTTCTTTTACAGCGACGTTCCTATTATCCCTTCTTCTCCTTTCTTCCTTTACTGCCTCTTCCTCCTCCACACCAATTCCTTCTGCCTCTTCATTTAATCTCAGATCCCTTCTTCATGACTCTCCTTCCTCATCCATCTTGACATCTCTCCTCTGTCTCTCTGCTCTTTAACCTCCTCTGCCCTTGGTATTTGGACTTTGATCAAACTTCCTCCAGTCTCTCCTCCTTTTGGGATTTCCTCCATCATGTGTCACTTCTTCTATCTCTCCTCCATCTGTCTTTGCAGACTTTCTCTCGCAAAATTTCCTCTAGTTAAAATTTAATAAAAATAGGAAATAATAGTCTCCCCATGTGAATTATAACACTACATATACCTTGTCAGTGTCTTTAATTTCAGCCATTTTTAATTGTAGTTATAAATGTTGTTTTGTCTTTGTCTCTTTTTTGAGTGTCAACAAATGTTCAATGTTGGAATACAGCGACAAATAATATTCTTATTAAATTAGTCGCAACATAAGTAGCTCAAAGAAACATCAAAAAGAAAGAATAAACAAAAAACATCAATATAAACATGCTTACAAACTACAAATTAACATAAAAGATATTTAAGTGACAGAAATGCAGGTGTTCAGATTTACAAAGAAATGGGTTTATACATGAAATATCTCTTTTCTAGTCACAATATTTATCATTTCTGTCCGTTTTCTAACATGAACATGAGAAACCGCAACAATAATTATATATATATATATATATATATAATTCCCTTCTCATCCACCGCGGGTGGTTCTTATTTGGGGTGGTCTAAAAAAAAAAATATATATATATTATATATATATATATATATATATATATATATATATATATATATATATATATATATACATATATATATAAAAACACAGTTTTACCTGTCATCAATTTTTATATAAAATGTAACAGGTAAGGTTATGAGGCCACATTTTTGACTGCATTAGTCATTAATCTAATGAATGGAGATTTAATGGGTGTCAAGTTTACTCACGTGTAGAAGAAGAACGGCAGCCAGAAAAGACTGACCCTGACAGTAACCAATTTCCTCATCATAGACAGAATAAGCCTGCAAAAAAAAAAACAAAAAAAAAAACAGAAAAAATGTGAACTGGTAATTTTATCACCAACCAACATGAACTCAATGGCATTTTTAAGGTTAGTTGCAGCCGATGGATAACCCAAAGTCACTAGAGCGCAATCTTTTTAGAAGTAGAGACAAGTTGCAGATGTTCGCTGGCTGAAATCTTTAGTTCTTTCTTTTATACCTGGAAGCAGGACTGAATAATGAAAAGTTGTACAGTTTTTCTTTAAACATGGAAAAATTCAATTGCTTAGGAACCAAGGAGGGAAGATGGTTTTAGGCAAAGTAAAGTGGGACGAATTAAAACAAAATTTGCACAGAAACATAAATATAGAACCATAAATAATCTATTTAAACTGTTATAAACTCGTTACAATTCATTGGTGAAGCTAAAATTTTTGCATTCTGCATTTCTCCCTTTGTAGAATGATCTATGTGCTCAAGACATTTACCACCCTTCTTAAGCAAAAATCTGAGGATCAGCAGCCATTCACATCCAGACTAATCGATCTTAAAAGCTTTCTGCCTCGCTACTCTTCCAGTGTATCACTGTAATATAACTGCTGTTGTCAGAACATCAGTGCCAACAGAGTACATCTCCTGAGAGACAGCTTCTCCGTAACACTTCAGTTTTAACAGGAGTTTCCTCAGAAGAACACCTCTCAGTCTCGTTTTTTTCTTCTGTGTTCGTGTCAACCTTGTTCAATGTCACTTTCTACAAGCTTTCGATTTTCTGAATGTAAAGCTGAGCCTCCAGTCTGCTAACACGGCACAGGCGTTCTGCGGCTAATTAAACAGATTTTTTAAAAAGATGACTGAAGCACTTTAGAGCGCATAAACTTTGAAAACCAGTGTAGGATTTTAGCCGACACTGCCTTTACTCAGCCACTGTAAAGGCATGATATAGACTGTCCTTGCATTCACCAGGTGACACAGGGTATAACTACAGTGTGCAACCTTGGGTTTGTGCCTGTTTGTCCAATAAATCAATGCAGTAAACTGCGGTACAGGGGAGTGCTTATAAATGAGCCACCGACTAAAAAATCTCAGAAAAGTAGAAATGTGATATAAATTTCAGGCAAATCTGTTATATGTGTTTTTGTTAGATGAATCTGTGTTTCACTGAAACATCTATATGATTCCTGGAAACATTTTCAGATGGTTAAAACTTCACTGTTTACAGTCTCATTTTACAGTAACAAAAAGCAGGAATAACTGTCAAGTGAAATAAGAACACAGTTTCAATGTTTTTATATAAATAATCAGAAAAGTGTGGCATGTACACATATATTGAGATTCCATGAGTAAATCCCTTGCAGAAACATATTTTGCTGTTACAGAGAAGCTGTCTCTCAGGAGATTTTGATTAATGCTCTCATTACGTTTCCTGTTAATTTAGGTGAACGGTGATGTCTTGGTAGATTTGCAGCTGCGCCAAACTGTTTCCATTTAAATATTGGTCAATGAGACACTCAACTCTGCTTTAAACATCTTACCTTTCCTACCTAGTTGGTTTTTAAGAAGCAATTGCCTTCATTTATGATCTTTAACAGTCATTTGACGCCTTTCACAGAACACATTAGATTAATAACAAAAAACTTCCAACTTCCTTCCAATTTCCAACTACCTTGTGTTGGTTTGTCACATTAAATCCATTCAACCTTGTTGTACAACAACAAAATGCGAAAAGGTTAAATGAAATTGAATCGACACACCCAGAACATTAGCTGCTGAGTTGATGCTCACTCTTTTCCATGTAAAGTTAAACGATGGGCAGAAAGAAAAGCGCAGACAGGAACAGTCCCTCTGCTGCTGTGCTCAGCTAATTTCGGTATTTTGATGTGAAGGTAATGGAGAAGTCTTGTGGCGCTGTCTGCGGCGTAATCTACAAGCTGACACGCTTGATGGAGTGTGGCGTTCACACGTCCCCAACTCGGCTGGGAGAAGAGCGCGCTGACAGATGGATGGGGGAGGTCCTGGTGGGTGAAATCTAAATTTGTTGGCCGGGGCAGATAATGGACTCAGAGGGGTGGATTATTGCAAAAAACGCCTAGCTTCTCAACTGTAGAGAAGACAGATTTTTCTATTCTTAGACGTATAGCAAGTAACACGAAGTGTTTGCTGGTTCAAATGTCTTATTAATCTTTTTGTAAAGTTCTGTAAGGATCTGAGGGGCTTTATTTGTTAAAACTTCAGCAATACCGTCCTTAAAGTTCTTAAGTATACAACAGTATTTGAAACTCCAACATGTTTTATAGTTGGTTTGTAGGACAGAACAAAATACATTGTATAATTGTGAAGTGGGAGGAGAAAAATGTGTCGTTTTAACCATTTATAAAAATAAAAAGTGTGACATGGACATGTCTGGGCGATATTGCTTAAAAATATAATCTCAGATTTCTTCATACCAGATCTGATTTCCAATCTTCATTGATAAATTAGTTTGTTGATTGCTGCCATTTCTGAAAAAAAATAAATGCAAATGACAGAAACTATTTCCAAAAGTGTTTTTTAATTCAGTCATAACCTTCTCTACGGAGTGTTAGGACCAAGCTACAAGAAGTTTTGTTTAATTACGAGAATCTAGTCATAATAGCTTGGGGTAATTCTATTTAGACATATACATTTCTGGAAAAAATTGAGCCCACTGCACTGAACCCCATTGAAAACCTCCTGGTTAAAACATGGGTATTGTTGTTTCTAAATGAATATAAACTTTTCTTTGCATTATTTGAGCTCTAAAAGCACTGCATAACTACAACATTTTTGCTTGGAATATCAGAGACATGTTGTCAGTATTTATACAATAAAAGATCAATGCTAATTTTATTCAAACCTATAAAAAATTAAGTCATAGGAACTGATCATTTTGTAATGTCTCTTAATTTTTCCCAGAGCTGCTGCCTGCAGTAACACACTAACAGGGTCTAAAAAAGTGCAAAATATGATAGAAAGAATTTGTTTTTCAATAAAAATGAAAAGAGCTGCAGGTTTTATTTTCCAGCTTATTGCTGGGTGTTTCTGAAACAAAGGACTTTAGAGACGCACCAAGTCTGCAGGTGACCTTCCCCAGAGAATAAAGGTTGGAAACGAAGCACTTCAGGCAGGAAATGGAAGAAGTTATAAAGATGTTAATGAACTTTGTCCTGGATACTCCAAGCCTGTAAAGCCTGGAGATCCAACCAACCTTAACAGCTGAAAATCTACATGGATTTGCATACAAATGAAGGCTGGTATAACTCTGACCTAGTTGGGACCAGAGTGGATGCTAAACCTTCCTGACAGGTTCTTCTACAGCTCTGACCAAACATGCTCTGTTTCTACTGTGCAACAAAAACACAAAGTTACAGGATACCACATTAGACCAAAACTCGCTTTGGTTTCATTGAAAAACAACAGTTCATGGTTAACAAGCTCCTTTCTTTGGCATTTCAGCTTTTTGTTTAAGTGAATATGAAGACCGTATCAATTGAAAGCTAAACATACTTAAATAATAGACGACAGTTAATGTAATTTCACTCAACAAATTAATGATTAATGTTCTTTGAAGGTTTATAAAGACTTCATAATCCATATTATTTATGGTTTTTATTGTGCTTGGTTTTTATTATTGTTTTATTTGTTCTTTTTATTTTAATATTTAAATTGTTTTCCAGTTTCAATGTGGAGTGTTTTGTGCAAAATATCATTATCCCATTATCAATAGCAATCATTTCTGGGACAATTCATTATCCAGCAAAATTTGTTTTTGTGACAATCTTATTTGGTATTAATTAAGAACTTCAAAACTGAACTTTTGATTTAATAATATTCAAATTACTTAAGGATTAAAATGTTGCTACTTGAATAGTCACTAAACTGAATACAAATTTAACAAAAACATTTTAAGTTTGTAAAATATGGCAAATTTCACAACAAATCTTATTTTATATTGCAGAATAATACAGAAAATATTATCCATTTTTCATGTCATTTAATGCTGTTGTCAGTTACTTTATAGTAAATGAGAGAAAAACAACTGTGACCATTTCATTTTAGGCAGGACACTAAACTCCTAGTTCATTGGGCTCTTAAAAATTTAAGCATTTTTTTATGTCTTCATTCTCTACACAGAATCATCTCACTATATATTAATTTGGATGTTTGGTTTATATATTTACGTTAGTGAGAGCATGATATAAACCATTCTGCAGCTCTTATTTCTAAATGTGACAAAAATGGTAGATATTTAGTGCAGCAACTTGACTGACTGAAGCAGCGGGGAGATAATGAAGTTTGTGACAGAACAGCTGGAAATATATCCAGGATGTGCAGAAGAGTTTATAAAAGCAGCACTGTGGTTAAAAGAGGCACAGAGGCAGGGAGCGGGACTCACTTTGACACATTTCTATAGTACTGACCTTGGTTCTGACTGGAAAAAAGCGTGTCTTCATAGAAAATTGCCTCAGCATGAGAAAACGCAGGGGACCTTCTAGTTATAGAAGCGTCTTTCTTCATTTAGTTTTGCAGAATTACATCAAAATGGAAGCAGATTTACAAAACTAAAGTAGCTTTTAAATGTTGGAGGACGCCAACAATCACTTTACCGAGCTGTTGACTCTTAGCATGTTAGCATGTGAGAAGTGGATGGCCTAATGGCTAATTAGTCTTCTAATGGTCAACTTCAAGATCCGAAGTTGCTAATTTTGACAAGATTAACCCACCAATAGGAGAGAAGCTTACTCTGAATCAAAGGAGCTCATACGTTTGCTCATTTGTCACTGTGCATCTTAAAATATGAGAAAAAAGTCTCTAAATAACCAGATAAGGGAGAAAAATCAATGTATGCAAAAAACGTGGCAATAAAAAATAATGAAAATTCACCAAGTAAATACAGAATATGGAAAAAAGAATAAATAACTGAACAAAAATAACGATAAGTTCTTATTTTTTTGATGCAATATTTGGCACATTACCTTCTTTATCAAACCATGTATTTATTAACCTGGTGAATACTTTTGTTAATATTCATATTATTAATAAATAATATAAATGAAAAATAATTATGAATGTTATTTGTTGCTAATTTCGGTAGGATCAGCCCTCATAGAAACTTAACATTATCTTAAAATATTCCCTTAAGGAAAGGCCAGCTAAACAAACAAATAATATAGTCAAAAATTTACTTTTCTGATAAACAATAAATCAAAGCCAACAGGTAATATTGTTGCAAACTAATTGCATGTTTTTTCCAGCCTCCCTGTCAGGAACTGGGCTCACCTTGCAGATCTTGTAGAGTGAATCTTGTCCATCTCCATCAGATTCTTTGAAGTAGTCGTGTGCTGGAAAAGTGCGATGGATGTCACGGGTGATGACGCTCTCGTGTGCCGAGTCCTGCAACACAGAGGGTGAATATACTTCAGACCAGGGTTCGGCAACCCAAAATGTTCTGTTTTTGATTGACATAATTACTTTCCTTTAATTTTTTATGTTTAATATTCAGTCTTTCCATGTATCCGCCATACTCCAAGTAAAGGATTTAAAGCTGCTGGTACAGCCGTGTGTTCTGCTTTAATGAGATTTGTAGTGAGGAGGTGGCGCTTTGTGCTATATATTATGTGATATTACAGCCAAATCAAAAAAAGAACAAAGTACAACTATGACAGGTAAAATTAATTTTCTAGATTTGGAGGATCTAAATTTCAATTTTGCAAATTTTTCTAGAACAGGGATAAATTTACGACAAGAAAAAATGTAAGTGGAAATTTATAACTGTAGATTTTATAAAAATATTCAAACCATAAAGGGAAAAATATTTAGAGGCATTTCACCTTGTTTGAAATAAATACTTTTGAGGGCGAATCTATGCTGTGACGCATATGTAATGATAATGATGCAACTTTGTTAGATTAAATAACTTACAGCTCATTTTTACTTTACCTTTGCTAAACTATCCCATCATTTAGTACGGCCGTATTACCATGGCAACATTTGCAATACCGTCCAGAATTTGTTTGACAGTTAAAGTTGTAAACACTTTGATTTAATAAAGCATGCATGCCTCTGCTAATTAACAGCCTCATTACTCAAAAAATACCCCCCAAAAAAAAATAAAAATGGAGAGGACGTCCTCTAAGCTCGCTAATCCTTTTCCTTTTCCTCTTTTATCCCTTCCTCCTCCTCTCTGCAATTTCTGTCAGCATGGTCTTTTGTAGTGTTCGGTCCCCAGCCTTTTGTTACTTTTTCCTGCTTATCGGCTGCTTTTTTCACTTCCACTCTCCTCTATTTTCTACTTCATGTCCCACAGTGCCTTTGCTTCAGCTGCTTCGTGAATTTTTTTTCTTCTCAGCTCATATCTGTCCTCTTTCAGCATCCATGTGTCCTAAACGTTTGCAGCACCGCCTCTTATTTTCCAGGCAGACAGCAAGTACACAATGCTTTCCAGGTTCCCTTTTACTACAAACTAACAAGGTTCTTCTTTCAGAGAGATGTCCCACATATGTTATACACACAAAAAAACTTTGATGAAATGCAAACTGAGAACTAGGAATGGGGAATAGCAAATATAGGCTACAGAATTAACTTGGGGGAAACTATAGCTGTTGCTCTCACATCCTTCAAAGTGCTTTTTGCAGAATATCAGAAAAAAATGAACCTTTCCTCTTTCATTGTACTTTATTTGAATATTTTATATTGCAACTCACTTAGGGTGCCTTGCAAAAATATTATCATTTCTATAACTTTTCCACATTTTGTCACCCTATTAACACAAACCTCCATGTATTTAAACATTATTTGATGCGATAAGTTGTGAATATATTCTGTGTGGCATGCACTTACAATCTTCTCCATGAGTTACAGTTATGAAGAACTACATTTTCAATTACAGCTGAAAATCTTTTGCCGTTTGTCTCAAACAGTTACGCACATTAATAAACAGACGGTTTGCACAGGTGTTACTGACAAAATACAACAAAGTTTTCATAAACATTTAGTTTTTGTTTAATTTCATAATAAATAGGAACATATATACTGTTTTTAGTTATATGCAGACTTTGGTGAATTCCAAATCTAACTAATTAAGATAATTTACTAAACTTGGCTCAATACAGCATGCAGTTTCAAAGATAAAGTGACCTAAGTCCTGCTTTTATTGCTGAGAATATCCATGACTTACTCATGGAGTAAACATCAAACCACAACATATTTCTGTCTCAACATTCAGGTCTTTTTTCTCCAGCTTATACATTGTTCTTTTTGTCATTCATTGTAAAACAAAAACGGTTTTAATATTCAGTCAGGGGATCTGATGACAGAAAAGACAAGAGTCACTAATTGTCCTGCTGCAGTACATCGGGAACGAGCGAGCGGCTGCTGAAGTGAGGCGTCTGCTTTCGGCGCACGCTGTCTGAGGTGTTGGTGTGCTTCAGCCCCAAGGTGTCCTAAGGAAACCGCTGCCTCATTAGTTGCATCACTGCATTACACTGCCACAGCTTAGCTCCACCACGGTAAATAACAAAACAGAATTAATCAATTCTAGTTTTTGCATCATATAACCTAACAGCGTTAGCACATCCCAAAATAGGCTCCATGGTTTTGGGCCACTTTTCCTGGCACTGAAAAGTAGAATATATTAGTTAAGTTAATGAGGACAGAGCTACTTGTTCCTCCCAGTGCTACATTAATGGCCATCAAACCTCGACCGTCCATCCAGACCAATAAACTTAACAAGCAGCTGAGTGACCAGGCTGGGAAATGCTAAGGTCACATTATTCACTACAATTTAATAACATGCCAATAGGTTTAAATGGGTCACTAAAACTATATTAAAGGTTCATAAGTAATATTGCAAATGCACAGGTGCACCTCAATGAATCAAAATGAACATGTTTAATTTGATTCAAAAATCTATAGTTCTACTTCAGAGGTGACCTACTTGCTATGCTTCCTTGAACAGGTTTCCATAGGTCTATACAAAACAGTCCCTCACATCTTTTGCACAAATCATTTTTAGATAATGAGATTTTAGCCTGCTAAGTTCTGCTGCTTTGAGTTCCTTTCAGAATGAGCTACTTCAGAGTCTCCTGTCACTTTAAATTCAATTAATCTGCTGCTGGCCACGCCCTCAAGCCCAACATGTACACTTGCATGTGAAAACAGCTGCAAACAGATGCTCAATTATACAACTGTGCAGCTTTGAAAAGCAGAAGTAGAGCCTCCTGCACAACCAAGAAGAATGGAGAAAGTGGTTTATGGATGGTAAGTCAACACACAAACTCTCGTCTTTTCCAGCAGCCATTGTACGTCGCATACAGCGGTAAAACCAGCCGACCAAACGTGCTGACTCAGGTTGTGTTGCTAGGCGAGGTGGAAGTGCCTGCTGATTTGTGGTGTTACACTCCAGAGGTTTTTGCATCAGCTCATTTTCCAAACACCAAAAACCAGATGGCATTTTAAAAAAAAAAGAAAGAAAAGCTCCAGAGAAGTATAAAAACATGTAAAATGTTAATTTTGCATAAGAAATCTCCTTTAAGCAGATTTCTAACAAACTGGGAGTTGAAATAGTGAAGCAGTTTGTTTATTTCCACGTCATGCCCTACACTCCGTTTCTGTTAAGTTTTAAACAAGGAACTGGAGAAAGATAAAATACGACAAAGGAACTACTTTCAAACACAAGAAAGAATATTCACTTGAAATGATTGTTGAGCCCTTGGAGTAATCACAGAAGGTACAGGGTCTGATACTTTCAGCTCATGTTTTATAAAAAGCAAACTGATAGCTGTGTTACTGAGCATCAACACCATCAGTGTCACCATCAACCAGAGGCTCTTTCAGTGAAATATCTAACCTGATCTGACAGAAATAAAATAAACAAAAGGCTGACAGAGAGATCCGGGAGGCTGTTAACAATTGTTTGCTCCTAGACAAGAGTAACAGCAGGACAGCCGTTCTGTAGATCTGATTAGAGAGGAGAGGAAGCGCCATGCTGGAATAAAAGACGAGGCTATTCTTAACTATAAGTGATCCTCCAAAAGCCTCAAAGTGTGGACAACAGAGTGAGCAGCTACTGAAATTTACACTGTAATTATCTCAAATACACAGAAGGATCATTGTTGGTCATCTAAGAAGAACATTTGCTAAATAGTTAATTTAATATTTTAAAAACCGAAGATCTTTAAAGTACACTTATGATTGAACTTTTGAATTTGAATATGTTTTCCTGACAAAAGAGGAACGATCAGTTATTACAGCTGGAAATTATTGATCAGGTTCAAAATCTGGGTAAGATGATGAACCTAACCATTCAGAAACGCATAAAGACAGTATTCTATCATCCGAGTACATTTCCAGGATTAAAGGACTCATCCGTTTATCTTTAGTCACACTGATCACTGCAACAGTATCTGCAGCAGGTCTGCCTAAAAAAAAAAAAATACAAAAAACAAATCGATCAGACAGCTCCAGCTGATCCAGAACGCTGCTGCTGGCATTCTGACTAAAACCAGGAAGCACATCACCTCAGTTTTAAAAACAATACACTTTAAAATCACTAAATGTCTTAGCACTAAAATATATTAAAGATTTGTTAACTGGAACAGGAATAATTATTTATTAAGCTTGTAGGGTAGAAGGTGCTGTAATTATAGTCCTGGACGACCAAACTCCTCAGGATATTGTTACTCAGTAACTCATTTTAACTTGAAAAGCAGTGAGAGTATTATCAATGCCTGCACACATACATGAGGATGTCCAGCATAGTCTGCCACAAAAACATACATGGCAGCCATTCTTTATGTGAGGCAGCAGAAAAACAAGCATTAACTTAACTATTGCTCACACCTGAATGCAAAAACAAAAAATAATTATCTCTTATGACAGTCCGACATGCACATAAAAATTACCTTTTCAACCTCACAAAAATGAGCAAATACTCAAGGATGATACTGGTAATATAAAGGAATGAGAAAAGGAAAGGCAGGGTGTTCACATCAGCATTTTCAACCATCAGCCTGAATTAATCACACAGTCAATTTGTGAGTCTGCATTTTAAAATACTGTGTGTACCTGCCAAATGTGTCCCTTGATGGCTTTTAAAGTGACTGATTGAAGGTAAAAGCCATGAATGAAGAGAGGCAAATGAAGGCAGATAAACAGAGGAAGAGAGAGACACTGAAAGAGAAGCTGAGAAAGAGAGATAAAAGAGGCCGGTGAGTTATGTACACAGAGAGGAACAAGAGGTTTTCTCCAATTGTAGCCTGGGGGCTTGTTGGGCAGACAGTCCATTACTAAGATCTTGCCAACAGGTTACCTACTTAGCACATGGGTTTAAAAATAAAAACTGCTGATGTGTCCTAAGCTGCAACTCCATCTCTGACAGCATTTCATTTAAGAGC